ATTACTGTCATGATTATTATCATTACCAACTGCAAGGTTAATAACATGTTTCAACCGCAGTGGTTAACCAATAGCTTTACCTATCACTTTACCAATGAAAACCAATTGGACCAAATGCCATTCCAGATTGTCTATCATTTGTATGATAACTTTACACTCTCCAACCATTAACAAGAGTCGCTCATTGTTGCCATGAAAAAAAGAGGATGAAACGATTAACGATGTAACATTATCATTTTGATTGGGATAATCGGGTAAAGTGACCAACAGAGAGTTATCAAAGTCAAATTGAATGAATGGTGAGCAATTGAAGAGGCAACTTTAATGATATTGATGATGATGCCAATGATGAATGCTAAAGTTTGCTTGTAAAAAGATGAGATTAAAAGCGATTCAAGAAAAATGGCTAATGAATCTCTTGAGAGCACTTGAACAGTTTGATGGTTCAGCTTTATTTTGGTGACATTTTGGTGATAATTTGTGTCAATTTGCCCATGTAAATTGTGATGATTGCCGTTATCATCATTGATGGGAGTTTTTTTTCTGTTCGCCTACTTTGTTGGTGGGAGTGAAAAGAGTAGCGAAAAATAGGGAAACTTTTAGAGACCAAATAAGAGTGAAGATACGTAATGGGATTTGATGCCATTACTTTCTTTATAACCTATCCTTGTGGGCTTAGATAGGCAGATCATTACTGATCATCTTCTTGATCATCAACATTACCAATTAATAGATGAATCCTTTCTCCATTGAGAGTTTATTTTGGTTTTGGTTGAGCCAAAAAAAGAGAAGCGACTCAGACCATTGAACATTGAATTGGTCCTTTCTTTGCTTTCCTCTTCTGCAACCAAAAACTACCGAAAAATTGGTAACCATATTTGATGGAAAACAAATTTAACCCTTAAATGGTTTTGATTTATGGTGATTTAACATGAGCGAAAGCATTGTCTTCTCTTTGTTCAGTCTGGTCATGATAAGGATGACGAGAATGCGCCTTTTCATCTCATCAACTGATAGGTTGCTTGCAATGGAAAAGGCAAGGATTCAAAATGATAATATTCTGAGCATGGTAGTTCACCAATATTCGCATTGCACCAGATTTTCAATCTATTTTTAGAAATACATTTCAATTCGTATTCAAAGGCAAACAATAAAATTGCACATTTTGTTTGGTTTTAATCAAGAGTTAATCAAGATTCTATCTTCAAGTTAGCTGTGCTTTAGTGCTGATTGCTCCAGTCGTAGAAACTTAAGCTTTGGTTTCTCTTTTTTTGGTCAGCAAAGACTTGCAAAAGTATTTGGTCAGCACTTTCGTTTAGAGCATTCATGTTTCTGAGAAATTCATGGAAATAGAGATTGGGGAAAAGTTCAGAATCCGTATTTTAAACTATCGAGTTTGAGGAAAACTCTGGTTATTCAGGTTAATTGTTTATTGTTGGTTTAAGAGGACATGTAAAAGTTTGTCTTTCGAGTCATAAAGAGCTAGGTGAATGGGCAAAGAAAGACCGAAGTCTTAATTTGAACTCAATTTTCTCGACGAAAGTCGATCAGATGAACTTTTCAATGGCACAAATGGACTCTCTTTTTATGCCTCTTTAACCATCAAAGTATCAACTTTAATCTCAAAGAAAAGCTTTAAGTGTGGTTAAAGAATGGCTTTTTCATTACTAAATCAATGTGACATAACATCTTATTTTTTGGATTCTTACTCTGATTTCTAGTTTGGTTTCAATTGTGGATTGATTGTATCCTACTCATTACTTCACCAATCAGTCATGATCGTTGAAGTTACCTTTACATTTATTATTCATTTGCGTCGCTTTTAATTAGCTATCAATTGTTTTCTCGTTTGAAAGATTCAACCATTTGAAATGCATTTCACTATTGAAAAGGAAAATTTTGTGTCAAAAAGGCTCAGTCTTTAACCTTTGTTTTTGGTGTTCCCTGTGGTCAATAATAAAGATTAAAAGGTCAGAGAAGATGAAGTTGGCCAAGAAAAAAGAAGAAAAAAAAGAAAAATGTTAGAGTTCTAAGAAAGAAGAAAAGTTTTTCTTCTCTTCATTTTCAGCTCACCAAAACCAAGCTATTTTCTGGCGCCTCTTTATCATATTGATGTATTACTCTAGCCAATATCACCTTACAGGTCAGCATTTGTGTGCATTGAATGAGTCCAACTTGGTAGAGCAAAAACAGCAAAGAGAAGAGAAGAAAAAGAAGAAGAAAAAAGTAAAAACTGAAATTCCTAGAAAGATCAGAGTTTGCAGCCTTCTTTCAGCTTCACATGGAACCCACTTTTTGTTGCATTTTTCTGACCAAACTTTAATCAACAGTCAACAGTTGTAGTGCATTAGCATGAAACCAATTTGCTAGCAAGTAAATCAACAAGTAAAGAAGTAAAAAGGAAACTTTGAGAAACAGTTAAAAGTGAAACAAAAAAGCAAAGTGAAGCTCGTTAATTAACCATTCATTTGGGTTTTAAAATTAGCACAATTTAGCATGACCCTGAATATAATCAATCTGTTAATCTTGGGCTTAAACTATATTTAGGTTAAATTAACTAGACGATCATGATAATTAGCTAATTTAATATTAATTGCATTACCATAAAGAATGGAAGTTGAACCAAAAAACAAAATCATTTTCAATGTTATTTGAAACTTTCATCTTGACCTTGGCTTTAAGGTTGAAGGTTAATTGTTTTCAGTTTAATAATTTGTTGCAAATGTTACATGATTGTGCTTTGATTGGTCAATTAATTCATCAATCATTAAAAGGAAATAAAAGTTTTCAAATTAATTTCTCAACTTTTGATAAGTTCTGACAATCAATTTGTGATCATTCAATTTCAACTCTTGCCTTTCGCCATCACAATCATGATCATGTTTTTTTTCACGGCTTATTATCACATTCAACAACTATCATTTTCAATTTCAAATCACATTATCAAATGGATAAAGATTATTGTTATTTTAGATGTTTTGTGATGCCATGAATAACATTTCATGCTGAGTTTACCTTTACGCTTTCCACACTTTTTACTTGTATTCATATTTTCAAGGTAAGTTGATGATCATGATTATTGGATAGTTACGGTGATGGGTCATTTGAGGAAAAGACAAGTGAATGAGAGTCAATTGAAACATAAGCATCTTAGCGAATGGAATCTGAGCGAAAGATGAAATTGGAAATTTTCATCAGATTATTAGAGCGCTCCAATGATGGTTACCATCGCATAGTCAATTTGAGTTGTGACGGACAACAAACACTTCTGGGTCTTGTTTCATAAGAGAAAAGGGGTTTCTTAGTTTCGATTGATTTGTCCTTAAAAATCAAAAAGTTTGATCAAGAAATTTCTTCAGCTTGTAGAAGTTCATTGAAAAATAAAGTTCTTGAAAATGAAATTCTAATACCACATGTTCGAGTAACATCAAGCCTGAAAATGCTTTTGAAATGTTTATCAAGTTATTCACATTTATGGTTAAAAAGATTGGGCCATTTATAACAAGTTTACACTTGTAAATAAGTAAACGTGTAAATGGATATTAAAGGTAAGAATCGTTATGTTAATATCGTTATTTGTCTGTAAATAATCATATCATAATAATTGCATTATGAAATACAATTTGATGTTGATTGACTCAACATCAGATTTAAGACGATTAACATGAAAAGATATCATGAAGAGATGAAAATTGATGTTAACAAAAAGGTAATACAAAGGTTTACAGAGTGTGCAAAAGATGAAATTAAGATTAGGAAGGAAAAGGTTTCAATAAATTCATTTCAATGTAAAGATCAAGTTTAAACAAACTGTTTTGGTTAAGACGGTAAATGTGAGTGACTTGAGAAACATTGACTTTACTCTCAAATGAAATGTTTATTAGCATCAAATCTCAATCTTTTTTCGGGGTAATAATGGCAAAAACAACCTGATGATGTTAAACTTTGCACCAAACGTTTCGAATGTTTATTTGAATCTGATTTTAAATCATTATATTAATGAAATGATCGCAATTAACTTCAATTGTTGAAAAGTCTCTGGTAATCTAAAAATCCATTTTTCATATAAAGTTTGTCACTTTGAGGCCAAATTGCGTTTGCAAACTCACTCTGGCTCTTGCCTTTTCCACCCAAGGTGGACTCATGGTGAGCTCCTCCGATCTAAACACATCTAAAAATGTTAATCAGATGGAGTAAGATCAAGGGCGTATGGCGAACAGTTTACCATAATTCAGGTCATTTCGAAGTTCATATAAAACAACTAACAATCAATTAATTGTAAGAATCAATTTTTTGTTTCTTTACTTTTCGACCACACAATTGACTAACAAAGCATTTCAAACTCAACAGATTCAGAATTTGTATCTTTCATCATCATCATGATCTCATCTGATAACTTGAGTCTTATTAACCATTGATTTACAAGATAGCTTTCTAGTTCAAAACCGTTTGATCAACCTAATAAATTGAAGCTTTAAAGTTAAACTGATGCCAAATTGAATTTAAAGACTCTTTAAATAACATGAATTTGGCTTGCAAATTTCACTTTGTTTGCATTTATTTTGATTAATTGCACTTGCAGCAGACTATTTTCAATTATTAAACAATGTTCAATCTTGAAAAATCTGTGAAAAGAGATGAAACAAATGTAAATCCATAATCAACTAAACGAGTCAATTCTTCAGTTTTTAAAGAAATATTTCAATACAAAATCTCAACTTGAATGCTGTAGAGTACAAGTTTCAATGATAATTGGTATGATTTCAATGAAAAAAGGTACGGCCATTAGGTAGAGTAAAAGAGAGAGAGAGTAAAGGTAAAGATGATAAGAAAGAGAAAGAGAAATGGCTTTTCTTCCCTCAACTCCTCCTCAAGAGAGAGACTAAATCTTTCGAGGCGGGCAAGAGGAAGATGTTGGACCAATAGAAGGCAGCCATTTTCGGATAATTTAACATGTTTCATCTCTTCTCCCTCAACATGCCCATCATCCTCATCTTCATCTCTCTCAACTCGGCAAACAAACAAACACACAAACGTTTGTACACTTAATGTTGTCAAGTTGAATCCCATACCTTTATGTACAAATGTAGAAGCAGTTACATTAAGCTCAACTCTACTTTGGTTTATAAACCGACAACTTTTGTGTAATTTTTGTGTTTCTTGTTTTTTTTTGTATCTACTAATTGTAATAGCAATTAATTTGGTTGCCAATTGAGAGTCATGGAGGATCGACCTGATGATAGTTTGTGTTCCAATGGAAGTTGTTCATCTATTGATCAAAGTGAATTAAATACTGGTTCCAATGCAACCGGTAACACTGTTAACCTGACTACCTCCAATGGTAATGGTAATAATGGTTCAATTAAATCGTCTCGATTATCCTTTAGTATAAACCATCTTTTATCCAAATCCTCTTCAACCTCACCAAATGAATGTGTAAAAAGTTTTGCCAAAAATGTATCACCACTCAATGATGAACCAAATGGGGCAAAAAATTTAACCTCATCACCACCAACAGCAACCTCATCATCACCCATTCCGGTAATAGTTTCATCTTCACCTTCATCTTCATCCAGGATAACAACACTGTCCACATCAACACCACCAACAACAACATCTCTAGCAAGCAACAATAACCATTCAAACAGCAACAATCATCATAACCATAATCATCATCATCACCATCATCATCATCACATCAAGGATGAGTTAATTGATGATTTAACGAGAAATGGTAAAGTCAAAGGTAATTTAAGTCCAATTTCATTTGGAAATAAATTATCATCAACTTTAATCACAGGGTTAAATAACAACAACAGTAATAATAATAATAATAATTCCAATGCTAATAGTAATAATAATCATTCTAATCATCATTATAACCGGTCAATATCAACAACACCACCACCAACTTTATCATCTTCATCCTCTTCTTCATCTTCAACCAAAACAGCCAATAATACAATCAACAGTAATTCCGGTAATTCATCGTTACCACCAATGAATCCACTTCGATTTGATGGTTCACTGAAAAGTTGTCCCGATAAAGATTTTGATAAACCAAGTGTTAACCATGACAATGGTAATGATAACCTTATGGCTACCAATGCCTTTTATCATCATTACATTACCGATGCATTTAGTGATTCAATGTTAAGGCTTCACGGTGTCCACCCTCACCATCCTCATCATCCTCACCATCCACATCACCCCTTGTACCATCATCCTCGTCACCCGTTAGCCAATGGAAACCAGGTTGCTCTTCACTTAACGGGAAGACCCTTTCAACCAGGTCATCCTTTCCTGCCCATAGCGAATCCCTTTTTTACACCTTACTTTCGTAAACCGAAGCGAGTTCGAACAGCGTTTAGTCCATCTCAATTAATGGAACTTGAAAGAGCCTTTGACAAGAATAATTATGTCATTGGCAATGAAAGGAAAGAGCTTGCCAAAAAATTGAATCTCGGTGAAACACAGGTAATTAACCCAATTCAATTTTACACCCCTTTTCACCCACTCTACTTATTATTGATACTTTTTTTTATGTTTTTTAGTTGAATATTATTTGAAAAATTATTTTCATTTAGCAATTTTTATTCTTGTTTATTCATCTTTAACAGCAACAAAAAACCTACACATTACAGATTAAAACAGTTTAATTAGTTTACCTTTAGGATCATTTCATGGTAACACTTTTCAAGGAGAATCCAATTTACTAATCTTAAATATAAATCTTAAACATTAGTCTTGTTATTAACATTTTATCCAATCTTTTATTATTCATATCTTCTTTTACCTTGTCAAGTTAAGGTTGACAAATTTTCTCAGATGTTCAACATTTAACAGGATAAGAGGCAAAATGGTTAATTTCTCATCATCAACGCCATTATCTAGCTAATTAAACTTGATTGTTCACAAGCAGAACTTTGAATTTTAAGTCAAAAGAACAGAGTTATTACAATGAATTTATCTTCTAACAGATAAACTCAACATCAATCAAACAGTGATGCAGTTTGAAACAATATAACCAAATATTCATCACCAATTTTTATTCCGAAACATCAAAACAAAACAAAACCCAAAACCAGTAAAAATCAAAACAATTCTTTGAGACTCAAAATTCAAAATTCAAGTCTCAGTTCCTATCCAATCTCATGCTAAAGAAGTCATAAAACAAGATTAACAATTTAAAGTAAATTCAGTAAAATGTCAACTCTTAACTTGATATAAAGGTTCAGTAAAATTGAATTTGTAAATCATTAGATTGTTACCTTTCATTGTAAGATCAATTTGGTAAAGTTGGTTATCAATGAAATTGGGTTAAAACTAAATTGGTTAGCAATTAGGAAATTAATTGTAGAGTAAATTTTTTTGTGAGTTATGTTTCATTAAACACTTTGATTAACCGTTTCTTGTCCTTACATTTTGTCTTTCCCATCAACAGGTTAAAGTTTGGTTTCAAAATAGACGAACCAAGGCTAAAAGGCAAAAGCAAGAGGACGAAGATGGTTCCTATCAAGTGTCCAATTCAGGGAAACGCGGTGAACCCGATGAAAGTGAATGCATGTCTGAAGGTGATGAAGACGATGACACTGAAATGGAAATGTCCAATGGATATGGTTCATCAGCATCTCCAACCAAACTAACAACCAATCCAAATGAACATCTACATCATCGTTGAAAAGCTATTCACCAGCTTAGGAAAGGATACAAAAGAAACCAAAAAAGGATCTCAACATTAATAGTTTTTAAGTTAATTTTGAACATTGGTCATCACCAAACCACCAATCATCATCTCTTGACCATCACAAACAAAGTATCGTCTCATCATCATCTTGTTCTTCCTCATCTTTCCCTCTAATCATCATTTTAATTAAAAGTAACTAAATTTCCACCTTCACCATATTTACATGATTAAAGACAAGATTATTCATTGTTTATTCATTAACAATTTCATGCCATATTTAATGATGATCATTATTATTATTGATATACATAATTATAAATACAGTTGTGTCATGTTTTCAAAAACATTGAGCAAAGCGCAAAATGTCAATCAAATAAAATTGAAAAGCAAAGTTGAACAAAAGTCTTGAAATTAATTTAAGCGACTCGGAAAATTGAATGTTGGTTAACCGAACCTTTGAAAACCCTTTTTTTAACACCGTTTTCATGTCGATTTACATGATTGTCAATGAAGGAATGAAAAATAGCAAAAACTAAAGTCTCAAGTTGCAATTCAAGTTACAAATTTTGGTTCAATAACAATTTGTGTTTTGAATAATTTTCACTGGTTCACTGCATTGCCTTAGGCTTCATCATACAATGAAAGGTGAAGATGAAGAGAAAAGATGAAAACTTGATTTATGAACAATGGGAACTTCAGTCTTTTCCTCTCCTCAGAGATTCCAATATCATGTTAACTGTGCAAATTTTTGGGTTCTTTTCTCAATTAGTTTGGGAAGGTCTCCATCATCATCAAGACTCAAGCTCTTCTCTCTGTTTTAACTTGAAAGTAATTTCCGTCAAACTGATTGCATGATTTAACTAAATGATTAACTAAATCATTTACTGGATTGTTTAATCATCTTTAACCATTTAGCCTTAAAATTGCTTAATTCAATTGCACTTTAATTGAGCTTAAATTATCAGCTTTTCATTTTTATTTTTCACCAAAATTTGCTCATTCTCTTGAACAAACCTTTTTCTAGATTCCCTCAGATTCATCTCAATTTCAATTTTGTGACCATTTTTTGCTTCTCTTTATTTTACCTTTAATTTAATTATTATTACAATTTACAATTATCTTGCGCTTCTGATCTATTATACCTGTAATTTAAATGATTTGTGGTTTTTGTTGGTTCAGCTAAGTTGAACAGTTTAACCTTAAAGACAGTTGAAGGCAAACCCTTCAATTACATTTTGCTTTACGTTTTTCAAATTGCTATTTAACCAGGGAAACAAGCAAAGATAACAATAAACTTTTGGTCTCAATTGTTAACTAATTGTTGAATTTGTTGATGTAAACCTTTAACAATTAACCAAATCTAATTGTTAGCTAAAAATTTGATTAAATCAACACTTGACTGACGAATGGATTAGATTGGGCGAAAAGGCTTTTTCTTTCCTAAACAAAGGTTAAAACATGATTAACCCAAATTGAATGATTAAATATCTGCTTTTAATTAACATCTTTGAATATATTTTTCTTGCAACTTGCAATTAAAGATGAACACAATTAACGATTATCACGTTCAAATGGATTCACATTAAAACATGAACCAAATTGACAGGTAATTGATTGGTTCATTATAATACAATAATTGAAATGGATAAGGTAATAATAAAAAGTAATGACAAATTTAACGATCGGCTATTGATGATGTTGGATGAAAGATGAAAGGTTCAAGAAGATTGGAAAATGTGAATTTCTTTCAAGTTTACTACGTGAAAATGCTTACTGTAATCATCTTAATAACCCCTTAATCATGATGATAATTGTTATCAATTTATCCTTGAATTTTCACTGTAAAGTTATGAATATTTAATTACAATTTGGTAAGGTTATTAAAAGGAGTGGAAATGTATATTAATAATGAATCAAATAAACAGTTAATGTTGATAAGTGAGTTTACCTTTTTTTTGTTTGTTTGTAAATTAATCATTTGTTCACAACGATATTAAGAAAACAGAAAAGGTTCATTAATTTAGGTTCAAAATCGTGATTAGATTTGGTCAATAGATGATTACATTTGATACTTGAGTTTAGTTTCAATCTGTTTCATTGTAACTCAATCAGTTTTAACCTTATTTTGAACACAACACACAAATGAGACAATTTAGTTTAAACAAATTATGTAAAAACGTGTTTCCCGTTTTACAAAGGATTCAATATTGAGCTAAGGTTAAAGTGAAATACATTTCAAAATGAACTTCAGTCGCAAAGGCCTTTAAGTCCCAGTCTTTCAATCTTTATCAGTGTTACAGTAATAACGTAAAAAACGATCCAAGTGTTGAGTCAATATCAGAATCAAATCTAAACTCTAGTCATTTGTCAAACAGTTGTGTCTTCACTTTTAATGATGCAAAATGGCCTGATGTTTAGCAGTGAAAGAGTCAGAGTCACTAAACTCTGTTCTTGAGTTGGCGATCAGTCGACGAGTCATTCGATGAAAAATCAACTTAGAGATTTCTTCGACTAACTGACTTCGATGTCTGATCTTAATGTTGAAATGTTCCAAATAAACCCAAATATCTCAGCCTCAGTTTATCAATGGAAAGTGAGAGTTTGTCATTACTCAAACTTTCTTCATCCTCAATGAAATCGGTTTCAACTTGAAGTTTATAGCATTTCGAGTCTTGAATGTTTATCCGAATCAAATCCAATCATTTCCAATCTTGATATAAATTTAGATAACCGTTATTCCGATGTAGATTCAGCTTCAGAGACGATTTTCAAAATGGTTTGCATTTTCAATCGATCCTCATCTTGCCTTAAGTTGATAGTTTCATACAAAGTAATTTGTAATTCAATTTTGTAATTAATTTGTTGTTTTACAGCGTTCTGAGCAATTAAGTAGGAAAAGCAAACTATTTGGTAAATTAAATTTAAGAGCTCAATAATTATAAAGATTGTTATGATTCATTTTGCAGTGGATTGAAAATCAATTGATTGATTGATGAATGTTCATTTTATGGGTAAATTTGTTGATTCTTCAAATAATATTGAGAAGTTTCCATTTTACTTTTACTTTTTCGAATTCATTTTAATATCAATTGACTGGAAACAAAACGATAGGAATGATAAAAATATACAGCTTTTCAGGGGAAAGAAGATTGCAATTTCAGTTGGAAACAAGTAAATTTAATTATTATCGCGATTCATGCGAAAGTTAATAATCAAAGTAAACAAGCTTAATCAGCTCATTAATTGTTTTCTCAATTTTCACAGCAAACAAACACACAAAAAGGCTGTTCAAGAGTACAAGCTCTTCTCGTTTAACATTTCATTTACCCAAACCAATCAGTTGATTGTTGGTAAAACATTATCATTACATTGATCATCATCTTTTCCAATCTTTCACCTTCAACATCTCAAATGATCCAGAAAAAAGCAAACAAAATCATTTGTTTCTTGTAAACCAAAAGCCAAAAAATGATTTTTCAATTAACTTTAATTGAGCAAAAGATGCTGTTCAAATGTACAAACAAATCATATTCAGTCGCATCTGTGATGTGAAACCATTCAAACAGCAACATTACGATCAGGTTAATTTGGGTAACATTTTGGTTCAGCCAAAGATCAACTTGACTTGATCAGTTTCAGTGATCGGGTCAAGCTATCAAAACTCAATCTCAACATTAAATCAAAATTAACCACTAAAGTTGAATGCGAAATAGCAACCTTTAAAAATGGTTAACTCTGGTTGTGTCCAGTTTTCAGTAAAACCTAAATTTTCAGTCTTGATGTTGATATTTGTGATTAGTTAATGAAATAAGTTTTCATAATTTGATTATTTTTCCAGTTAAAGAGTCCAATGTTGTTCATTTGATCACTCAATCGACTAAGGGATACAGATGTTTAGCTTATGTGTTCAGTTAATGATTATATCAATGGTAATGAATTGATCAAATGTTTAACTATAATTGTATAGGATTCAATAGATTTGCGCAAAATCGTTTTCAATGATATTGGCAATGAACGATTATTGATGTTTGAAAGCTAATAATAATAATAAAGAGATGATAAATATATGAATATAAACGGAAAGGTAAAGTGTATGTTAATAAAATTGTTGATCAAGAGGGAGTTTTGTTATTGATGTTATTATTTGAATGTTTGAATGTTTTGATGATAGGAAAAGGTTGAGAGACAGAAGGAGGAGAAAGTAAATGATGAAAAATTTAAATATTGTTTGGTCACAAATTATATTATTATTGCTGTTTGGTACAAAAAAATGCCATTTTAATTCCCTTTTAAAAGTTACATTATTTTTGGTCATCATCATCATCAACATAATGGATGTGAATTGGATAGAGAGATGAGAATGAAAAGGAAGAGGAAGGAAGATGAAGATGAAGATCCTTTAGAGTAGGAGAGAGATGCATTTCAATACAATTTGTTATTATTATTTGTGTTACAAGTTGAAATTATTTTCTCAACTAATCATTATTATTATTATTATTAATATATTCATTGGGAGTTTTTTTCATAGGATTTTGAGCTTATTGTAAGGCAATTGGATGAAGCAAAGGGAAAATAGAAGCTCATTTGAGGCTTACTAAGCGTAATAGTAGATTGTAAGTGTCAATAGTAGCAATAATAATCATAATAATAATCTAATCTAATCTAAATAATAATAAAGATGGTGATAAGATACCTTAGGTCAAATGAAAATTGGCAATTGACATTAAATACAAAACATGGACGTATAAACTGATAGATATGTTCACATTAAACATGTACAGAGAGGACAAAAAACGACACATTTCAATTGGTTTTAAATTTTTTGGTTCCTTTTGCTTTTCTTTCCATTTCTTTTCCTTGCTTGTTCCATCAAAGATTGAGTTTGATTAAGATAATAAAAAAATAATAACCAAAAGGATGTATCAATGGTGGCCTATTGTAAATACAACAATAATAATCATCTTTATGCTGACACAGAATGGGATTACTCTTTTACTTTTAGAGTATGCTTAAGCTTCTTGGAGGTTTTTTTGCGAACCTTCAATGGTTCAGATCTTCATCTTTTCATCTTTGCCTTTGCGATTGCCTTTACGCTTGCCTTTGCCTTTCTCCTTTTCTTTCTTTTATTTTTTTTCTTGCTTGCTGTTGATACCTTTACGTTTTACAATTGATCTTTTTTTTACAACTGCTCTTTTCTTACTCCACACAACTCGTCAGCACGTTTAATGGTAATCGCCACTTGAATGGATGTTGTTATAAGTATCGCCTATCCAATAATTTAGATGAACACAGTGAAAGAAGGAGAGGAAAATAAAAAAATATCAACCATATTTGAGACTCGCTTTTCGCTTTTTCCCACTTTATGATATCGTTGTGTGTAGAGGTAAGATTCAGCTCCGTCCTTTCGCGCTTTAGTTTAATCATTGAATTGACCCACTTAAACCGATTAAAGAGTAACCTCGTATTTACTGTTTAACACTCTTCAATGTAAATATTTTTTTATCCCTCTTCCACCTCGCTTTTGTTGGCAGCAGCACACATTGGATATTGTTGTTTGTTCAATCTGAAGAGGCTTTTGATTTTCCATCCAACCTTTTCCTTTGCTTCTTGATACATTATTGATATTTACTTTTACGTCTTCTATAACAATTGATAAAAAAGATTGATAATTTGATTGTTATATCAATTGATTATTGGGTGGTTAGATGATGGTCACAAGGTAAATAGAATCATCATTTTAAGTGATATAATTCAATTCTGTTGATGTGACAAAAGTTGCTTGTTTGGTCATCAATTTAAATTAAAAGAGTAATACACAGACAAACATGCGAAAAACTCTTGTCAAAATGAGGTGAATAAATTGGGAAAGGGTTTCACGAAAGATTTGAAGATAAGTAAATAATGAAAATGATGATACATAATAAAGTTGAAAATTGTTAGCTAGCTAGTTAATTAATTAATTAATCATTTACCATTAATCATTAGAGCTAAAGGTTGGGTCAAAATAATAATGATGATGATGCTGCTTAACCTTGAGTTGAAACTTGTGTGTGTGTGTGAGTGAGTGTGAGTGTATGTTGCGTGTTAAACGCAAGCGAAGGCGTTAAAGAAGCTGTTATATCACATAGACATGGGTAATAATCAGGTAAACATTTTAAGATGCCCTTTCCACTTAGAAGGCTGATTACGGTTTGGTGGATTGGCACCTCTCATCATCTCCATTTTTCTTGAAAAAAGGATAAAATACCATTCCATGTGTCAGTTGTAAGCTGATCCAGCCTCACTGGTGAGGATAAATTGAATAAAACAAATGATCTGAACCTGAAAAAAAATACATGAGAAAATAAAGTTAAAATGGCGAAATGTAATAACGTATTAAATTAAAATTAAAGATTTATTTAGACAATTATAAAGTTATAATGTATTATATCGATAAATATTTACTTACAATTACTTAATCATGACACTTTTGATGGTTAATAATTTACTTTGCTAGGCTGACCAAAAGCAAGAACAAAATCGTTACCTCAATAAATCAGAAATCATTAAATAAATGTACTTTTTTTGCTGACATAACATGAACTGATTTGAACTTGAAACAATTTCAAATATTTTAAATTGAACAATTAAAAAAACAATGCGTGGTTAACTATTAATTAGTGAATTTAGAAGAAAAAACTAATCAAAATTGAATTAAAAGTTGAAATGCAAATCACAAGAGAATGGATTAACAGCTGATTTACTCCTTTAGAGATTGGTTGCCAGTTTGAGACGCCATTAAATGGTGCGCTTTTTGAATTTTATAGTTAAATTATTAATTTATACGGGTTGATGTAAATAAATTGTTAAAACATGTTGATGGTTACATTAACGTACAGTTTAAGCTTACCTAAAGCTAATAAAAATGATGATAATAATAATACTCATAATAATAATTTAAAGTTAATTAACAATTTTCAGTTTTCTACTTTTCTCAGGCTTGAACAGTAAACTGTTAAACAAGCAAACCTCCTATTTTTTCCGGTTAAAATCTTAATTTTCAGCGCAACTTGACATTAACAAGTGATGTCAGGCCAGTTAAGTATTTGATTTATATGATTAAATTAATCAAGAGCAAAAGACTGTTAATTATAAAAATAAGAAGGTAAAAGACAGACATTAAACATACAGAGATGCATACGCTTCACTATTTTATAGTATTGAAATAGTTGAGCCATTAATGTAAACCTCAATGGCTGACAATTATAACAAACACTAATGTTAACCCACCTACTGTCAGTTAAATTCACAGTAAATAAATATAAAAATTATAATTATAATAATGATAATAATAATATTAATGATATTGGTTGGGTAATGATAATAATCAGTTGTCAGCTCAATTGAATAACATTATATAATAATCAAGAGGATAGGGAAGGTGAGAGTAGAAGCTATAAAGGAAAAATCTATGTTTTATGATAATAAATTGTCCATATAATGAATAAATAAAGATGATATAAGAATCTGCCAAATTTACCAAATGAAGGTTGAGATAGAAAGAAGAAAAAATTGTATTCTTGAACGTAAATCTCTTCAGGTAAATGATGGTAAACTCCATCTGGTAAAGAAAGAGCACTCAGTCCGTTCCCTGTTTCATTTTTGAGCAAGTTCACATTACAACCAGATAAAAGGCCATCTGATAAAGCTCAACCTTCACCAAAGAGACCTAGAGAACCATTAAATCGTAAGCTCAGTTTTAAGGTGAAGACAGCCAGAGATCATGGTGAAAATTTCAATATTGTTCTAGAATCTGATGATCTCAGGAGTTGTGCTTTCGATACTTTGGTCGAAGATGATGAGTTGGAAGATTTACAATGGATGTCTCCCTAATTCATCCCACATTAAACTAATCTAAACACTCAGTTGGCTGTTCAACAGGTAGGAACAAAATGGTTGAGCATTAGCTTAATTTTTGTTGTTGGGTTGTGGCTTTGAATCCTTTTCTTGCTAACATAATGGGATAACATCATTAAATCTGAATGCAAGAGAGAGAAAGAGAAAGATATTAAAAACAAAAACAAACTCAACTAAAACAAACTTTACAGCAACAATAATGGCTAATGTTCATGAAATTAAATCAAGATAAATCCATCATAAATGAAAAAGATAATAAGATAATGGTAGCTGCAACACCATCATCATCAACATCATAAACGCAAGCACTAAACATTACTAATACGATGTTGTTGATGAGGTTTTAAGTGAATTTTACAGTGAAATGTGTAAACGTCAAGGGTTAATGAAGATAGAGCTAAGTTTGGTGACCACGATGGATTAACTGTGCTGTACTTGGTTGTCTTCTTCAACAATTATACGTCTACTTTGAGATGATTCGCGCGAGGCCATCAATGTCTCGTTAGTTACGCTTTTTTTCACTCCTGAAGAGAAAAATAGAGAGAGAGACAAAAAATAGTAAAATATTTCCTTAGGCAAAGGAGAAACTTGACTTGTTATAGACAGTGATATTTGAGTAAATCACTTTTTCATTCAAATTATTGTATAATTCATTAAAAATGAGCGAAAATTGTCAAATGTGTGAACGTTACCTGAATAATTCACATTCACATTAGTATATCAGCTGATAGTATCAGTCAAGAGATGAAGAAAGTGCATTTCTGGAAAGAGATAGAGAGTGGTCTGTAGTGAGTAGAGTCAGGTAGAGAGGAAGAGACAGATGAAATTCATGAAGTAAACAGGTAAGCAACTGAAAAGAGAGAAAGAAAGATAATCTCACAAGTGAAAAGTATGATATTTACTTTTCCCTTCTGAGCTGCTCGCTGTTTAAAATGAGGATCGAGTATGACAGGCAACAATTTACTTGGGAGGAGTCCATTTAGAGGCTTTTTAATGAGTATCCTCCAAAGACTGAGTAATTAGTTGAGGTCACTCTCTTGCTGGGTGAGAGGAGGCCAAGTTGAAGATGGAAACAGTACACATAACCATACCCATCTTGACATCTCCAACAGAACTGTCCATTTAACTTGTTGCACTGGTAAAAGTATAAAAAGAAACCATCAAAGCACTATTATAAGGTTGATTATGATGACAATTAAAAGCTGAGAATAAAAAGAATAAGAGAAAAAAAAACTGATTAGTATCAAAATTAATAACGTTGATCTGTTGAAAAGAGGAATACAAGACTGACGACTTGAAAGCAGTTTGTTGGGCTTGCAATTTTTTCACATAATTTATTGACAGCTTGATCTTATACTATTTAGTCGATTATTTAACAAACCTAAAGTCATTTGGTCATCTAATTTGGTTATAAATAAAGGTAAATAGAGAGAAAGAAGAAACTGAAAGATGATAAAGATACAGTGAAAGAGATAAAAAAGGTATACATGAAAATGAGTACCTCTGTAAAAAGACCTTCAATCAACAAGGGAACCTCTTAATGAGTATTCATACTATAAATTAATTAATTAGCTTGACCTTGAGGACAGTGAAACTTACCTTTTGTATGCACAATGAACGCCATTAATGAGTGCTTAATTGAAACCACACAACGGAAATGATATAAATACGAGAACGGAAATAAAAGAAAAAAAGATAAGAAATAAATTATCCAAAACAAAAAGATATGATAAAACATATGAAAAAGGTTTGCTTGAAACAATGAAAATTGAGAATCGCGCTATTGACCATTGTCATGGAGACAAAGCTTTCCTTGGATCATATTTTGTAATGGTTTAACGGCTTTCCAAATGACTTTACCATTGTTTTTAATTTTAATTGTTGTTAATTATTTCTATTAATTGAATTTTATTTCAATGTTACTCTTTGTATAATTATATTATAACTCTTTTGTGCTGTTGATCTATTTATTTAACTATTTTATATAATCAAGCCACATGGTTACGAGTCAAAAGGAAACAATGTTTGACTTGTATTTGTAGCTTTTAATGTAACAATTTTCAAGTTTAATTTAATAATGATGAAAATGGTTTACACTTGGAATACAATGTTTTGCCAGTTCAATGTAGATTATTATTTTATTGACCAATCAACCAAATGGAATCATCATTAAGCAGATAAAAACAGTTGACACTGTGGTTTGAATCATCTGTGGACCGCGTTCTTCATCCGAAACATTACAAAGTATGTTTTTTTATTATAATTTACACTTGATTACTATTATTTTCTTGCTTGATTTGATAGTTAACGAGGTCTTCATTATTAAGAAGTTAATATTGAAGTTTGCCTTACCATTAAGTTGATGAATTTACTCGAGTAAAATAAATTGCTTAATTACTAGCAAAATTTCAATATTGCATCGCTTGCTTTTACTGTCAAATGATGTTTAATAAATTTCCTCTCGAAATTGATTAATATGATTTCAAGCTTACCAGAACGAGAATCTTCGTGTCACAGCGATATTTATAATTTAACCAACGAGAACCGTATGGCTTTATGAGTACTTGAAGTTTATCAAAAAAAAGAGTAAAGAATAAGTTTCATATTATAATGCAGACAGAGCAGAACTGTATTATACGGATGAACGGATTTTGTCTGTCTGTTAATTACATTGATTGTGATGAATTACATAATACAGGTTACATATTTGTCTTGAAAAGTTGTTCAAAAGTAAACAAATTACTCTTGCCGGTAAAGTTATTTCATGAAACAAAAAAGTTGAATCAGGAAATTCCTCATCAAAATACTGAAAAAAGTTATTGAATTTCAACTCTGATCACATATTTTATCCATACTTTATTATGATTTCTTCTTAACCATGATTTATATTTGTTTGTGCAAGCATCTCAATTCTGTAGTTCATTTTTCATTCTGATCCAACTATAAGTTGATTAGTTTTCGTCTTCGCTTTACACTCGACATTAAACAACGTTAGTAGCTTTAAGTTTAATTCAAGTTTCAGTGTTTGAATCAGTTTCGAATTATTATGTTGACAATTTAACATGCGGTTGTAAGAATCTTAAGAATCAAAATCCTTTCATGATGAAAAAAATTTATGAGTTAAAAAGAAACGCAAAAAACGAAAAAAATTGACAAAAGATGAAAATCTGTGAGCAAAATCGGAAATCCGGAAGAAGTACATTGTAATTAAAAGTTAATGTTGACAAGCAATGTATCGCTTCAAGTTGGATACCAAGCAAACACACACAAAGTATTACATGCACATGAACACAGATATTATAATTAAATTATATATTAAAATGTGTATAAAATCCAAGCAAAGGAAAAAGTAGGAAACCAGAAAAAAAACAACAGCGATGATTCCGTGGAGGTTGCTGGTGTGTGCACTTTTCGTTGCTGTCTTTTTGTTGTTTGTGCTCAAAAGCAATGTTCAAAAGCTGAAAAGAAGAAGAAGAAGAAGCAAGAAAAGGAAAAGGCAGACAGACTGACAGACCATTGGATGTGATCCATCATTAAGGTGATACGTGATGCTCATGTTGACGTCTTCCCTCATCTAACCTCTCTCTCTCTCTTTTACTTACCTTTTATCCAACAGTCTCGTGGTATCACGTACTTATCAGAAAGGTTACTGACTAAATACTGGGATCCGGTCTCACAGGGTTGATCATTCATGTTTCAAGTGTGACCTTAATTATGTCCAATCAAGCTATCAGATAGTGAAATTGCAATGGATCTACTAATGGGTAAAAAGGTAGGCAAAAGAAACATCAATTACTACATTATCAACATCAATTCATGTCTTTAGAGTCAACATTATTTTACCTTTTTTTTATCCTAATCACTTAAGTCTCTTTTTGCACATAATTGTTCTTGATTAGCTTTTTTTCCCTTCGCTCATTGACTTTCTTTACTCACAATTAACACGTTGAACTATTAACAAACAGACACTTTCAGTTTTTTTTCATCATCATCGTCATTATTATCACTATTGTTATTACTTATTAACAGTTCTCTAATATCTATTTTTTTGTGCATATATACAGGTAATGGTAAAACATTGGAAGTCCCTTCATTGTTATTCAGTGAGCGATAATCAACTTAATGAAGACAAAACAAAAGGAAAAGGGAAAAAAAGAATTGGCGAAAGAAGCGAAAAAAGAAATTAAGAAAATGGAAGAAAGAAATAACTCAAAGGAATCAACTATCATCAACAAAGGCAGATGGTTTATGCAGTTAACGGACATGGTTATTTCAAGTTTGCCAAAATATTATTCAACGCAAAACGGCACAAAAGAGGAATCAAGTTCACACAGTCAAATGAGATGGAAAGAAGATGAAAAAAGCTGAAGAAAATGCAGCAAATAATTGAAAAAAATGGCGAGACCATTTCATTTGCAATTACATTTAATTGTTCACCAGAAATTTAACGCCATCCCACTCATTATCATTGTAATTGACCAAAGTTAATCTCTAATAGAAACCATCATTGATGATAATTTTTGGTTGCCTTCAACGAAACAAGGCAATAACAACAAGCAACAACAAACAATACACAATCATCATAATCTACATCATCTTCACCATCTACGCCATCATCTCCATCATCATTTCCCTCCCAATGAAGTAAAAATTTTTCAACGCTCAAAGATACTCTCAAATACACTTACTGATAAAAAATGAAGTTGAAAAAACTATGAATTTCAACTAAGCACGAGGGTGGGCGGTTATATGGTTACCTTTACATTTACTGGTAACTTGACCGCCTTGTTTATAACGTTGATTGTGATTGTTTACCTGATGTTGTAAAAAAAACCTTCATAACTGATGTTTTGTTAGTTTTTCATTTACTTTTTCACTTCATTTTTCAATCTTTTTTCATTCTCTTCTCGCTGTTCAGAGCCCAAATTTCCCCTCATCTTCAGGTCGTGATTCGTTTTCCTCTTTCTCTCTCCTCTTTCTATCTCATCCTAACGTCTTCACTCCCTTATCCAACCACTTAATTGGTTACCTTAAATATGATTGTTTAATATTATTATTATGATTTCATTTTCTCCCCTCCCACTTATATTCATCTCTTTCGCATCTTTTAATATGCTTTTAAATTTTAAATGAATTTATATTTTGGCTGGTTGGTGCCGAAATTGGCACCGAGGTAGGCACGAAAAATCCATTGCCACTTGTATCACAAATCATATCCATAATTTGCTTTTAATGTGATGATAATAAACCAACATCAACCTCTAATAACACTTTATCATTTTTTTGCTGGCAAACAATTTATTTCAGTTTATCTAACATCAACAACAATAACAACTTAGAGGCAAACAACAATTTATCCTGACGAACTTTAAACTTGAATTAAGAAAGGGAAAAAAACAATCAGATAATGATGGAAGTGTAAAAAGCAACAAGAAAACGCTTATTAAAAAAGCGAAAATATTTGATTATCTAATAAATTAAATCAATTAATTTTAAACTAAACTAATTGTTGATAATAATAACTTAATGATGGCAACCAGGCAAATCATGATATCAGCTATCCAACCAAGTTCATTTTACTGCTAACTTGTAAGCTCTATTGATAATTTTGGGTGAAAAAATTCAAAATTAATTTATCAATTTATTGATTTATCCGAAGAGTTGAAATTGCGTTCATAGATACTCTAGACTATCAGCTATTTGATGTATTTGATTAAACAAATTATGTTGATGACAATATGCTCATCGGTAACAAAAACCAAATGATGTTGAATAGCTAATGTTTTTGTATTCAATGGATGAAGAGTTATGATTACTGGTCAGTCAACGTGGCACAGCAAAACTATGCAAACATTTTAATTATTGTAAGCATTTTAATCCAACTTTTCTTGTTTTCCTTACAACTGTGATTCTGATGACTGATTAACTTTGATGGTTGACAGTTTAGACGGCGAGAATCAACCCTTCAATCTGACAATTTGACTATCAATCGCAACTCAATTTCGTTGGTAAAGGCAAATGACAATAGATGAATGATAATGTTGTTAATCTAAGCTGCAAGGGTAATCCTTTTTACTTTGTTATTGACTGGAACATTTGTATGTGTATTATGCAAATTAAATCCTTTCAACTCTTGAAAATGCCTTCTTGGTAATCCTTTTTACTTGATTGCCTTGAAATCGCCATTTGATCAGTCTTTCAATTAATCTATAAAAGAAAAACAAGAAAATGAAAATTAGATTTGATTTGTAAAACGTGTTTCAGTTATTAACCTAACCAAAAGAAACTAAGAAGCTGATTGTTACCAGATTAACAACTATCACTGTAACAATGGGCAAGCTATAAATGTACAACAACAACAACAACAACGACCCAAAATGAGCAAACAAAATGACAATCAACTCTGGTTAAAGCTACTATTATTTATCATGTATTTTGTTATATACATTATAATAAATAAGCATATAAACAAGTCAATAACAACATTACTATTATCAAAACAATAAAGGTTTTGTTGGTTGATTATTATTGTTATATTATGCTGCTACTATAATGGTGGAACCCATTTGTTACCTCATTAAGCCAATGTTGATAGTAAATTGTCTTGAAAATGAAATCATTTCAATTCTGGTGCAACGTTTCTCAGGTTAAAATGGCAATTTTTAAATTCTTATTTGTTTCTCAATGTTTTCTTGCCTTTATCTTTCTGATTGGAATGAATGATTTTGTATTTACTCGGTGAATCAAGGAAAAACATTAACAAACACTTTTTCATTGTCAACTTAAATTAGTTGATTCCAATCAACATAATATCTTCTCAAACAGTTCATTTATCACTTAAAAACAGCAAAGTGAAGCAAGATAACTTATAGCGCAAAACAGGCGACACACACACAGCCATCGAGACAATTGCTTGTACGAATCAAGATTATATCATGAATTTTGTTCAACTGTAAAACAATAATAGTAATGATAATTGGGATGATAACAATGATTATGATGATTTTAGCTGGTGGTGTTCAACAAATGCTCATAAAATAAATGTTTATGTAATGATCAATGGAAACGCAATTTTGACAAGAAGAAAGTTTAAGACAATTGTCAAAACTCTAGTTGATAATATTAATTGTCGATATGTCAAGTGTTTATGCTTTTTTGTTCAATTTATCTGATCATCAGTGGATTATTAATTGCTTGTAATAATAAACTATTTAACCATTGAGTTAACATGGTTAGTAGCATAACATTTCCATCATCATTACTTATCTGGAGAAAGCGAAAGATTTGTTCATTATTAATGGACAATCGCTATGGTTCCTTGATCAATGTTATAAGACATTTCACAAGGTAATATTAACAATTACTGATTTCTTTTTTTCTTTCTTCTTCTGTTCAGCAGGATTATGTTGATAGGCTAGGAGGTATACCATGGTAAAACATTGACTCCTCCTCACCAACTGAATTACCGATCAGGAATATGAAATGGTTATGATGAACAAAAATTGTTTTGGTGACAAAACGTTTCGTTTTTCCTGTTTAGCAAATGATTATCTCCATACTGGTTACATGGCTGTGGTTGAGAGATGATGTGAAACTATCAAACCTTATTAGACAGGTTAATGTTTTCCAAGAGGAGAAGCTCTTTTTAATGTACAATTTAAGTCATTTTGTATTGGTAACTATTGTATTTAACAGCTCTTAACATACAAAATGACTTTTTAAATCAGCTTATTAACATTATCCATTAACAAACAGGAACTGCCAAAATTCAAACACGACATTCATTTTGCGTTGATTTTGCCATCCAATATCTTTTGTATTTTAAACTATATGCATGTAGGGTTGAGAGTCATAAGTAACTTCGAAACGTAATTCATTTTAGATCTAAATATCGAAGTATTTTACCAGATGAAGTTTCGTCATTCCAACAATACTTATCCACTTCAGGCTTGTTCGCATAAAGTACAAAAATCAACAAATAACAGCAATCATTTCTTGTTTCTTCAGTTTCCTTTTTTTCAATCGTCCAGTGTGAACATTGGTAATGATAGCTGAATAAATTATCTTTTCTTGATTGGTGTTGTTATCAATTTTGTGGTTCCTTTGCTAATTCATAATACTTTTGCCTTTTGGTGGATATAATATTGATGATTCCTGTAAGGTAGAAGAAGAAGAAGAAGAAGCAATTATTAAGAAATTCGGAAGAAGAGGAAAAGAAAATGTTTATAACTCTCAAGAAACGAAATCATTTCTTTTATTTTCTCTCTTCTTTTTCTCTACCTTTTTTGTACTCTTTTCACCTTAATTATAGTGTAAACCATTTAAAAACTGATTATTGATGAAATAACAATAATCCCAATGAAACAGCAATCATTTAGCAATGTTGATCATAATTATCATCATCTACAAATCGGTAGCAATTAGCTAATAAACAACAAAACTGTTTTCCCAAATCTTTAGTCTCTCATCTGGAATCAATTGACTTAATTTTTTGCCTCTTTTCCAACCATTTCACAATTATTATGTCAATTTAGCATTTCGTATGTTAGTTAACTCCAGTTATAAATCATTTTCTGTTGATTTCAAATGATTACTCTGCAATCTGTGATTTTGTATGTTGAATCAAATGAGATATTTTTTGCACTATTCAAACTTACAACTTTCATAATACACTTGAAGACGCACAATCTAAACATCTATACATTGAATTTCAGTTGCGTTAGACATCCAAATCGAACTAAGAGGGTTGGTCTTGATGCGTGGAAAGTCTGTAACATGAAAAGTTCGGTAATTCGGTACGGTTTGACTTTGCAATCCAATATCTTTCGTATTTTAAACCATACATGGTTAACAACGGTACATTGCAAGAGACATCAGTAACACTTCGAAGCGTGATTCAGTTCTATATCTGCCATTCCATTGAAAGACTAGTCGACATTCAGATTCCTTGATATCCTTAAACTGCCCAAAGTGACCAAGAATTGGAGAACCTGAAAAAGGATTGAAAATGATTAAAACAATTAGTGTAAGCATTTGTTATTTTAACACAAGCAATAATTACCGGTTAAATTGAATATAAATCTTACCCCATCTATTGTCATTTGTTGCAATAGTCATATTAAAGCGGTTAAATTGATAATTGAAAACATTGACATGACAAGTTGAGATAAATTGTGCAAATGATTTCTTGAAAGATAACAGAATCAAAGAGAAACAAAATTACAATTAATTATTTAATGATATAATATTGAAAGGTATCAAATAGCAAATAAAAGGATTGGATTGAAAAAAAATTTGTATGCAATGGATCCTCACCCAGCGTAATATGAATAAAGCTGCTAATTGGCAGGCTAAATTGTGTTTATTATTTAAGGTGGAGAAAGTTGAATTTGAAATGAAACAAACAAGCCAGGTACAAGGTATAAAAAAAAGTAAAGGTGTAAATGAGAGTAAAAATGTTAAGATAATGGTGAAGATGAGCGAGATTTAATAATGATAAAGATTGCCTTTTGCCGGTTGTGATAATGATGATGATGACACAAGCCCTTAAGTATGATTCAAGGAAATAAACATTTTTCATTTCTGGCCTCTGATTTATAATTTGATTGTTATTATTTGTTAATTTGATATGTATATACAAAGGTTAGATAGTTTCAGCTTGTGTTGATGCACAATTGATGTATAATTGAAATAATTTGCTGTATAATTGAAGGTAAATTAAATAATGTTCAGCAAAACGAGAAGAAAAGGCTGACAAGAAATGAAGCACAAAAACAACAACAACAACAAGAAATACAGAAACAAGATAAATTGTAAGCTGAAAAATGTTTTAATAGTAACTAATATTATCATTATTATATTCATCTTTCAAGGTTCAATAATGATAATGATAAATTTGATTGATGAGAGAAGCAACAACGAAAGATTTAATGAAGATGATAATAATAGTGATGATGAACATGAACAAATGTAGAGGCAAAAAAAGATGAACAGAAAGATGTAAAGATACATTCAATATCAATGAGCAACTTTATCTAAGTGTGTGTCTTGGTTAAGGGTTATGGTGTTAAACTTGTGGCTCAAGGATTAAGCATGTTTACATAGCTTTTAATCAACATCATCTTTGGGTTCATCTTTACCCTGTTCAGGCTCATATCTTCATGATTTATAAAACAATTGGCTGAGAGTTTTGCTTCAAGGCCTTTTCCAGTTAAAAGGTAAACTAGTTACAAGTTAATGGTAAACCCTTTCATGGTACACTGTATAACAAAAAATTAGCCTAATTACAGGTTAATTTGCATATTTTATTCAACTACTCCAACAGGTTATTAAAAGGTTTTGTAAAAATGTTTAACTCTTTCCTTTTGTCTCTTCTTTACCAGTTTTGTTGCTCTTGTGATATTTTGCTTACATCAGGTTTAAGATGAGTGTAAAGTGATAATTGAAAGTGTCACCTGAAGGTTTTCACTTGAATAAATCAATTCAGTCTCTTCTTTTAACCCTTTGTTCATTAATCTGTGAATTCAATTAAAACAGCAACAGGAGCAAAGGTTTTCCCGTTTCTTTTTTTTCTTCTTGTTTTGTGTGAAACTTCAGCCCAACATTATTATAATTATAGTTAATATTCATTATTATCATTATTATTTTTTCATTATCAACTATAGCTATTAGCTAATTTAATTCATCTGATGATTGTACCCTTTTTTACGGGTTATTTTAAGGCTTTTCTTGTTTCTGGTTTCTTTTTGTCCAGTTTTTCAATTTTTTAAGGTTTAAGGTTTTCTCTCGCAAGATTGATTCAAATTGATTATTTCCTAGATGATTATTTTTTTAAACATGGTTAACAAATTGTGATTTAAAATGTTTCAAGATGAAGGAGTGAATAATAAAGGAGATGATGATAATTAGAAGTTGCTCTTTTTTTACATTCAAGATTTACATTTAAGATAATGGCTGTTGGTTTATTTTGCTGTTACCAAAATTTATTAGCATTTGTAACTCATCAACACAACTAATCTCATTAATTGCCAACAACATAATTACTTTCTCAATCTGGTTTGGGCTCCTTTTTCACCATCATCATCAACTTCATCATTACCATTATTTTATCACCAACAATTTAATCTTTGTTTTCTCACCTGAAGAAAAGAGCTTTCAATTTGGTTACATTTTTTCAAGGTAAATCATATTTTATGACAAACTGATAGACCATAATGAATATCCAAAAATATCAATAACACAATGATATAAAATATCAGTCCAAAACATGTAAAGATAAACATGGATCTTGAATATTCAATTGAAGCATTCTTGGCTTTTTTAAAACATTATTTTGTAACTTTAACAAACTCATAGGTTGATTTATCACAGATTCAGATTCACTTCAGATAAGTATCCAATGCACAAAAATGATTAGATATTCAGTTGAATAAGATGAAATTGATGAAAAATTCAAACCCAAATTGAAAAAACAAGAGATGAATAAATGGAAACAATGACCTTAATTAATATTAGATGGAGCCACAAAAAATGAGCGCAATTTTTAATCTCGATTAAATTAAATCTAAATTTAATATCGATCAATATTTAATGAAGCCAACTAATCCTAAATCAAAGGTTCTTATTAAAGCAGTTAAACCAGGTTACATGAAAATGTAAATTATAATCTAGTTTACCTTTTGTTGAGCATTTTGTTTGTATTCAAGTTACAATTATTTTTGTTTCCAATGATTAATATAGTTTTAAATTGAAAATATACAATTTGATCAATGATTATGAGGTGAGTAAAGATTGGTTTAGATTAATCACATAAACAAGAGAAACCCGGTGTTTTATTGATTACATTGAAACAGTTAACGAGCTTTCACCTGTTCAGCAAAAAAAAGATGAACAAGGAAAAGTTGATTTGAAAAATTGTTTCTTTCAACAATTTTCCAATTCTCTTGATTGTTCTTTATTATTGATTAGATTTCATGTTGATAGGTTAGTTGGTATGGAATAAATTAACCTGAGCAAACAAACAAAAAGGTAGTCAACAAGTGATGATTAAACTGAAAAAAGGTGAAATCGGATTGAACAGATTGAAACAAAACCATCAACAAAAATTGTTGAAAGTAGCTTTTGTAACGGCTTTTGGATTAAATTGTCACAACATTGATTTTCAAATTGTTATCAAACCAGTGCGAAGGTTAACATTCAAAATTAAATTAAAAATCTCAGAACAAGATTTACAATTGAAATGGCATTTTGAAAGGTTTAAAATCAAGAAGTGAATATTAAATTAATTTAGTGATGTTGATGGATCAATTGAAAGTGTCTGAAGATTTGCTTCTCAAGGAAATCAGTGTTTCTTTGAAAATGTTTAACCGTCTTGTAAAGCAACAATCAATTGATTAATGGTGTTAAATGGTACAACAAAAATGTACACATTACAAGTAATCAATTGGTATGCGTTAAGGTTAACTGTGTTATGATTATTATACAATTTGTATCACTTTTTGGCTTCAATGATATAAATTAGATTATGTTTGACAACGTATCCGTTGGCTTTTGTTGTTGTTGATGTTGTTTCATTTGCTTCATTTCATATTCATTGAGACTCTCTCTTTTTTTACCTGGTAAAGTCTATTGATATATGATTACTATTATTATTAAATATCAATATAAATTTCAATTCAATTGAAAAATATACAAGCTTAAAGAGGACAAAATAACCTTTATAATAATCAACACTCAATCTGTTCAAAAGTAGATCGACAAGAGTCAACAATGAAAGGTTACAATGACAATGTAACAAAATAAAACATCAACAACAACAGTAAAAACCATTGCCATTGGAACACCTTTTTTCCTTTTTACCTGCAATTTCTTTTGCTGGTTGCTGGTGAAAAAAAGGAAGTTCATTTATTTCCTTTTGCCAAATCTATTCAATAGTTTTGACACTTTTTTTGTGTTGCCTCTCTTTGGCATCTTCATCTTTGGTCGTCATCGTTTGATTAACTATTCAAAAATGAAGTTACCTTCATAAAGTCAACAATCAATAGACAGAAAATATAAACACACGTAAAGTGAGTCCAATGATGATGTAGATGAAGATGACAAAGGGAAGCAACAAAAAAAAGATGAAGGAAAGGGCCAAATTTAAGTGGATTGTGGTTTTGGCTGCTCTTTTTGCGTTTTTGTCCTCGGATATTTGCGTCCTTCTCGGGTCACAATAGGAACCTCGTTAAAGTGTTTGGCCTGAAAGAGAATAGAAAAGAGAGAAAGAAAAAAAAGAAATGTTTAGTTTGTCAATTGAATTGGCATTATAATGTTATTATTTGATTCTTTGTGCTTGAATTTGTAAGTGATAATCATGTACTTCAAGTTGACTTATTTTCGCCTTTTGTATCGCTCATCAACTTTTATCAAATAATCATTACAAACATCATCATCATCAACAACAACATTATCATAATATAACTGATTTACCTTTTTTGCTAACTGTTACTGTTTCAATGGGCAAAAATTGTAATTGAAATAAAACAATATTGACAAAGGAATCAAGTTTGCGGATAAAATCAAAATATTTATCAATATGATGAGCTTGTTGATGAATGATGAGCTAAAATTGAAACTACTTATTGTTTGCCATTTCATTTGATCATTTGAACACTTCTTGCGCTTCTTCCATTACTTTAGACTTTGGGATTTCCGTTTAAGGGCCAATAGTTTCTGATGTACAGCTGATGGTTGATGGCAATGGCGATGATACAGATGAAATGAAGATGATGATGAACACACCTCAATTGGTATATCGTATTTCACACGATAAATATACCTGAAAAGAGAGAGAGAGAGAGAGAATAAAAGATGAAACTCATTTCTTTGATGTTCATTTGTGTTTTACTTCTTTTCTATTTTGTTCATCATTTTCATTCTAATCATCAAAAGATATCCGGGTAATAACAACCCACAGGGAGGGAGAACTGAAATAGTGAGAGAGAAGGTAAAAACTGATGACAGGCAATCATCGAGTTAACAAGGTAAACTCATTAAACAAGTAATGAGAATGTTGACTTGTAATAGAAGAGAAAATATAAAAAAAAGAAAGAATCAAATATATCTTGTTTTCATCTTATTTTTCCTTCTCATCTTCATCTTGATTATCATCACCATTAGAGATGATAAAGCTTTTGAGAGAGAGATGATGATGAGTTAACAAGGCTTTTTATCGTACTTTTTAACCAAAAAATAAAACAAAATATAAGCCTTAATATTGCCGTGAATATGCACACCTTTTCTTACCTTTTTAAGCTTTACTCTTGTTAAGATTGGGATTGGCTTTTGACCATGAAGATGATGATGAAAATAAAGTTGATAATGATGATGATGATGTGCTGGTGATGAAAAAAAGAAAGAGTATTGTATCCTTCATTTAACCTGGAGAAGAAGATGAGGAAAAATTGTTTCAAGTAAATTGGCTGCTGATGATGTTTTGTTGTTATTTGTACGGATTGAATGGAAGGCGATGAAACCATGAGAATAGAGTTTAGGAGAAGCGTGAAATTCCCAATTAGCTTGAGCTCACGATTATCACCATGTTATTCCCTCTTTAACAATCTAAATATATATTCATTTATAAATATAAACATTTCCACCTCCAACTTGTATCTCCTCCTTGTTTCCACTCGCTAATGCTTTCTTCTCCATGTGATTCAATGGCTGTAAAAAGAGAGTAAAAAATAATATTTTAAAAAGATGTAGATGATGAAGATGATGAAGATGATGAAAATAAGGAAACAATAAAGAACCATTTCTCAACAGTTTTTGTGTTGCTCTTCACCTGAGTAAAAAAGCGAGCAAACGTCTACTTTTTGGTATTGTATTGTTGATGTTGTTCATGAGCTAAATTCAATTTAACTTTGATATATTCATGAGTTTTTATCACTATTATCATTTGTACGATGATAATATAAATTAAATTTACTTGCCTTATCAACCTGATTATGTTAGTTAATTGTTGTACGATAATCTGCCAAAGGAATCTTTTTTTTTCTCGTTTCCAGTTGATCATAAAAAATTGAAACGAGAAAAGTTAAACCAAATAACTTCTTCTTCTTCTTCTTCATTATCTTCATCAGTTTTGTTGTACAATTGTTGTTAACCATGTTTTAAATCACGATAAATTGTACATTGTAATGAACATAATGAACAATTCAGCTGCCAGTTGAAAGAGTCAAGTCATCAATTAAATGGTACAATTTGTTGTTCTCCATCTCACATTAGATTTCCATCTTGAATTTATCAAAGTAAATTACTCCATAATTGTTTGTCTATTTTCCTTTTTAAGGCCATTTTCCTTCATCTTCTTCTTCATTTTTATCTTTTCTTTCGTGTCTTCTTCTTTCATGTAATCACATAATTTCCAGTGTCTTGAATTATCATTTCTTGCTTCTTTAGTTTCCAATCGTCCAGTGTGAACATTGGTAAATGATAGCTGAATAAATTATCTTTTCTTGATTGGTGTTGTTATCATTTTTGTGGTTATTTTGCTAATTCTTAGTACCTTTGCCTTTTAGTGGATATAATATTGATGATTCCTGTAAGGTAAAAGAAGAAGAAGAAGCAATTATTAAGAAATTCGGAAGAAGAGGAAAAGAAAATGTTTATAACTCTCAAGAAACGAAATCATTTCTTTTATTTTCTCTCTTCTTTTTCTCTACCTTTTTTTGTACTCTTTTCACCTTAATTATAGTGTAAACCATTTAAAAACTGATTATTGATGAAATAACAATAATCCCAATGAAACGGCAATCATTTAGCAATGTTGATCATAATTATCATCATCTACAAATCGGTAGCAATTAGCTAATAAGCAAAACTGTTTTCCCAAATCTTTAGTCTCTCATCTGGAATCAATTGACTTAATTTTTTTCAGAGAAGCTCCGGTTTCAGTTATTCCTCAATATCGAGATGAAATTGGAGCCATTTGTGCTCGCAAGTATTCGATAGAATCGCTTACAAGTTTCAAACTTCGATTGCATTTTGTTCAGTTGAAAAACCAGGTTTTATTTTCTCTTGGTTTTTCTCATCGACGGTTTTTCATTGAAAATTTAAGTCTTCATCAAATGTGTCTTCATTAAGTGCGATCATTCATGATCGCAGTAGCCTTTAGTCATTAATTTACGAATTTTGTCAAATTTGTTTCTTCTTTTCAAAGTCACTATTTTCTTATAAGCTCTTTGTTAGGAAACTACTTTAATTCAATTAAAAGTGCATGTCAATTAAATATAATTAACATGCAATAATTAAAATAGACTAAAAAGTATCATTATAGTTGATCACGCAAAGTCAATTCACAAAAGGTAAAGTTGATTTTAAGTCAACTTGCCGGTGGATTGAAGTAATGTTAACTTGTATCTATAAGTTGGTTAATTAATTAACAATTTAACTGTGTAATCAGTTTCAATTGTTGTCTAAATGTTAGCTTTAACAAGGTATGATGTTGGGAAAAGATGAGGGAAAAATGAGGAACAAATTGAATCAGATAAGTTTTGGTGAAGCTTATTGAAATGTTGAATTAGTGAGAATCACAAGAGATGAAAAGAAAGGTTAATTTGTTAAATTGATTCAATTGTGAAGGTAGACCAGTAAAGGTTGTTAGAAGTGAAAATTAGGAGTCAATGGAATTCATTTCTTTGTCAAGTTATTATAATCATTTGATTGGTTAAACTCTCAAGTGAAATGATTGTTTGATGGTGAACAAAGAATAAGATAAAAAGGGAAAGAGTAAAGAATTAATGAATGAAATATACAATTCTGTCCATTAATTGTCACAATTATAATTATCATAATTATTATTGAGCTTTGAGGTTAGATTATTTCTATCATCAAAAGCGTCTTTTATAATTCCCTTTCTCATCTCGTCACATAGATGTTCACGTAACTTCTTTATCCATATTATTACGTTATCCGTATCATTATCATAATAATGATAAGAGTTATCATCATCATCATCATCACCTCCGCCTCTTTCCTTGTTGAGACAGGAATTCCTTAACGATGTCAAATGAAGTACAATTAAACATCATTTGGCTCAATTGTCATAAACGGTTGTTGGTAAGTTGAATAACAACAGCAAAAACTTTTCCCTAAAAAAAGAAGCGCAACAAGATGAAAACAAGTTAGTTCATTCAAAAATAATAATCTTAATAATAGTCATGATAATGAAGATTCTGGTGAGTGAATAGAGAAGGATAAGTTGAGACACTAACCACCACTGAGGTTGCCACCTTGACAAACAGCACTACTTAACAGGTATGATGACGAGTAACAGGATTTTTGCTTGTTCACAATAAATGTCCACTTGATTTGAGTTTTAATTATCAAATGACAGGCATGTTTATCAAATTAGCCAGAATAAGAGTCCAATCCTTATCTAAATGTTGTCCAAGTGTTCAATTGTACAGTAATTTTAATCAATTATGGATACAGGTTGAACTTCAAGCCACATCCAGTACACAATTCAGGTCCATGAAAGATCTTCAACTCGATAAAATTGTTTGTTCGCGAGGATTTCAAGGCTGATAAAAAGAAAAGAAAAATTAGTTTTAGTATTTCTGAACAAATAAATATAAAAAAGACGAGGTTGACATGATTTAGAGATGATTTTACTTGAAAATACAATTTCTGCTCTTTACTTTCCAATATAAAATTGTATTACTCTCGATATTGATTTAGTGTAAATGAACTTGTACTGCATCAATCAAGAATTGGTTAAAGTCGCTCATAATCATTGATCTTCTAGGAAATATCAAAAAATTATTAATTTTTACATTAAGGGGTCAATAAATTGGTGACTTTGACCTTGTTTTAATCTTCACATCAACATCATCATTATGATCTTTGGCTGAACAATCTTATTTACATCATAAATGATGCTTTTCCTCTTCAAAGAGCTCTAAATAATGATATAAATATCATAAAGAGCTACACTCATCTTTCATTATTTTTACCTTTCTTTTAAACTCTCTAATGATGATGATGATGATCATAATCAAAGAGTATAACAAGAGGTAGCATGCAATGTTAATTATCTTTTCGAGATAAGGATAGGGAAAAGGTCTCGGACGCGATGGCGCCACTAACAACCCTTTTAATTTTTCTTTAATTTTTTTCAACTTTTTCTCATCAAAAAATTTGTTTACATTTATTTTTTTGTCATTTTTTCGTCTCTTTCATCATCTCTTTCTCACTGCTAGCTCCCTCTTTTCCGTCACCTTTTAACTTCTTATCTCTCTTATCTATAGCTCTCATTGACGTGCTCTCTCTTGCTATTACTCTTTGATCATAATCATTATAATAATCATCTGACCAAAGGAGCACTGAGTGGTTACAGATTTGACGACACTTGTCGAATATTTAAAAGATGTTTTGTTTTGTTCACTGCTTACCTCCATGTTTCATTACTTAACTTGCTAACTGGTTAGTTAATCTTATTTTTTTCTCATTCTGTTCCATAGTTGGTTCATTTTTCTTCCTTTTCTTTTACTGCCATCAAACAATTTACAATTAGTCAGACCAATTTAGATTTGAGTTAAATAATGATCTGTTGACGTTCACATGAGCCTATCCTTTTTTACTTTTGCTTTACCTAAATGAATTTGGAAAGGAACAGGTAACAGATAAAGATGAAAGAAAGAAAGAGAAAAGGAAATACAAAAGGTAAGATTAAAAAAGAAGGCAAGGTAACTTTCACCCTTGACAGTGACTATGGGAAGATTAAAACAATCATTAAGGTTAGTTAAATATAATGTTTAAATCCAAAGTCTGGTAAGAAAATTAGGGGAAAAAATGAATTAAAACATGTTATTAATAATAACATTAATGTAAGTCAAACCTCTGAAAAGTCGCAAAGAAAGAGACGAGACCTCCTTTTTTAAGAGATTTTGGTGGCGCCATCTTCGAACAGTGGGTCCGTTACAGTAGTGCAAGTGAAAAAGCTAGAGCCTGTTAAACGATGTTAAACTTACTTAGTTGTTTAGTCGACTTTTAAATTGTAATTTTAAGTATTAATTTTTGAACACCTTAACAATCAGTTGTTGGCTCGGTGAACAGTGTCAAGTGAAACGCAAAAAATAGAGACTAAATGACTGTAAGGTAATAATCATATTGAGTCAAATAACACACAAGATGAGTAGATAAGGTTCATTATGAATGATGAGTTCCCAACAATAGATGATATTGAAATTTTGCATGTGAAAATGGTCCAGTTCATTCATAAATCCCGTTGATAATTATTAAATAGGCTGACAAGAGGCTTGTTTTGAACGCTTCTGTTGTGAAAAAAGAATCAAAATTGTATATTAATTTTTATAGTGAAAAGAGGGTAAAACTTACATTTGACTTACTGATAGTTTCAAATGGCATGATCCTTTGAATGAATTATGTAAATAGATGAATAAGATAACATTACATCACTTATATGATTAATTTGAACGGTATCATAAATTAGTATAAACACTTCAACCTAAAAGAAAATGAGAGAGAAGAAAATGACCGTTGAAGAGGCCGAAAGTGGTAGTAACTAATTTTTAAAATTCAAATTAAAAACGGTTGTTTTTACAGTTAAAGGTCGCCCTTTAGTTCTAGTTAAAGTACAACAATTAAAGTTTAACAGATGATATTAATAAGAAATAGAGAATGAGAGAAAAAGGAAAATTCATCAGAAAAAGAATAGCAAACTTACAATTAAAATTTTCTTTTGGTATCCACAGTTATAATCATCTTTTTACTGTGAAAGCAATCAAATGTTTAAATGATAGTTGTTAGTATAATTGGGATCATATTTTGAGTAATAAAGGGTTGATCATGAATATAAATTAGATGATAATAATTGAGATAATTACGAAGATAATCAATAAAAACCGGAATAAATAATGTAATGTTTACATATCTTTTAAGATTCAAATCCTTGATTTGGGCAAAAATTTCAACTCGATAGATTTGGTCACTTATCACTCCATCTATGTGAATAGATTAGAAATACAATTTACAGCACGCAAATGAATAAATTATCTTGAAACCAATTTACTTTTTTTTTGTTTACTTTTTGATTAATATCAGTTTCTTAGTTTCTTATTAACTACCAACTGTTTTGATACATTTTATAAATCAAGTTAACCTTACTCTAAGCTTAAGGGAATTTTGTGAGAAGTGAAAATTATTGAAAATTATAAATCAAATGGTTAATTATCTGTAAATTAATTGAAACCCATTCTCAACATATAAAGTTGAGTTCTTGTGTGTTTATACTGACAAGAGGTGAATATTTGTAGTAAGGATGAACAGTGAAAGAAAGAAGGTAAGAAAGAAGGTAAGAAAGAGGATGAAAAAGCCTAAGTGTGGCTAAAGATAAAGCCTGAGGCCTGAATTGGGCGTTTATACCTGTATTTACATTGTGAAATAAGTAGATTAACACTGGTAATTGATTTTGCTTTTGGCTAATTTAACCTGATAAACGCAATCTGATCTAATCAGGTTGAACCAAATGTTTGATTAATTAATAAATTTTCGTTTCTATATTTTTTCTCCTTCCCTTTCTTTCCCTCTTTCAATCTTCAGTGAATCTAGGGTTAACCTGTTGAGTTAATTTCCTTCAATCCTAACATCATGAATGATTGGATCGTTTTTTTGGAAACTGATTTGTTGACTAATCATTGGATTACTGGATGATGGACGGAAATCAAAGCTCGTAACAGTCAAGTATATAAATCCTGTGGTGTACATTTTGATGTGATCTGAACTCAAACTGGTGATTACCTAAAGATGACAACAGATCTTACAACTCGTCATGCCTTTTTGGTTGGTTAACGTTAAGTGTTTAAGGTTTAGTTCAATCTTTTGATTTTAACAAATTACAGTGGACAAAGCCTGAAGAATGGTTTTACTTAAGAAATCAAGAATTACATGAGATACATGATGACAAGTTACAAATTTAAAGGAAACAAAGCTTCTCACATTCATTAGCTTGTATCTTTTCATTTAATACTTCATTATCTTGACTTTCTTACCAAGATATATAATTAGTGAAATTTTGTTGTAAGCAAGGGTGGCCTTGTCAACTAGTGTTACCTTGTTGATTGCTGTTTCTGTTTTTGAAATGATGAACAAATCTTTTCACCAGAGTTGAATGCAATCAGATGGTTCACCTAGCGAAATCACCTAATACTAATTTCTTGTCTTCTCTCCTTCACCCCATCTACAGAATGCACTGCTATGGTTGACGAAAATGGAATAATAAACAATGGACTAAAAACTTCGACACAAGCTGACTACAGAGTCAACAGGGCTTCTCCTCTTGAAGAATCTCGATTTTGAACCAATCAGGATGAAATATGGAGTTGAACACGTTTGGTACACATTTGCTAATCTTAACGATGGAAGGTTACATTTTATGACTTTTCAATGATCACTTTACTCAAGAATATGGAATATCTACACGTAAGTCTCATTTTTTCTGCTTTTGTTTTGTCTCTCTCTATGCATTTGTGTCTCTAACCTCGTTAGAATGAAACTTTAATCTCATTTTCAAATCAAACTCATTGAGGTGTTTTATGTTTATTTACAGGTTGTCAAGTTTACTTAATGATTATTATGTGATGATGATGATGACAATTATAATTACTACAAACACTGGAACAAAGTATTCTCTGTTGGTTTGCTGTTCATTCTTGTTTCCCTGGATAAAGTCAAAGCAATTCTTGGTTGTCAGTATTTCAGGAGGAGACAGTTCAAAAACTCAAGAAAACCACACTAAACAAAATTACAATTAATCTTTCAAAGACTGGGCCTAAGAGAAAAGTCATCTTTTGTGAACTGAGCTATTACAAGTGTAACAATTTACATTTATAAAAGAGGATATAATTGGTGATATTTGCATATTTTTGGGCAAAGAAAAAGAAAGTGTGATTACAATTAATCATTTCCATTCCATCATCTTCCATTTCGACTGTGCCTTTTCCTGATAGATACATTGATCTGACAGGTTTGATCATAATCAGTAAGACAATCAGTCAATAAGAGTCAGATTATCCAAATTATTAATTATCATTGTAAATAATGTCTTGGGTTGATGTATGGTTTTCCCTTTCGATCTCTAGTTGCAGGTAATTTTAATTGTTAACAATTTACATACCAAATTGTTAACTTCTTGCCAAATGCATACATCATTTATTACTTATCTTTTACTTTACCTTCCTACTACATTATGAATAACGCCCGTACATTGATTGATTGTTTACTGATTGTAAAATGGAGAGTCAGCATCAGATAAAAATTTAATTGGAATTGGAATTAAATTCTGAAAAAATTTGATGAAATGTTCATGATGAGAGAGCAACAGTGGTGATCATATTCATCATCATCATGTTGATCCTCTTGTGGTTATTTATAAGACGCAATTCAAATGCTTGCAAGTGAACTATTTAATTAGACTGATTTAACATTGATTAGATTCTTTAACTAAACAAGAATCAAATCATATGATTGTTAAACTGATATTAACTATCGTATGATCTTAAAATTAATGTAATATTAGAATCTAATTGAAATGATGGTTAAGTAATTGGATAAGTGAATGTACCAAATTGTACAATTATTAACAACATTTACGTTTCTTGCTAATGATTATAATCACCATTGATAACTGTATTTGTTTCAAATTAATTGACCCTCACAAATAATCAGCTCTTAATTTATACAAACTCGCATACAATTACATTAATGCTCATAGTTTAGTTGAAAATTAATACAACAGTTGAAGATAAATGGTTTCCCATTAAATTTCTTGATATAATTCCCATAATCACAATAATTATCATAACATTTAATTACTCTTTTCAATTGTAACTAATGATTTTCATCTTTTCTCCCTTTCATTACAGATATTTGGATGGACAAAACAAAAGGAAAGCAACAACAATCAGCAAATTAAAAGAAGTTCATTGTTTATAAGTTCACTTATATTCATTAAATGAATCTTTTAATAACAATTAGTCAACCATAGATTAACAATGAGCATTGAAAGTAAAGATTTGAAAGTATTTAATGTCGGACAATTTTCATTGAATATGATTACACCAAAGTAGCCCGAGCCAGGACAAAGACGATGGATCTGATGATGGTGATGATGATGATAATGATAATAATGGTGATGACAAAAGATGATTATAATGCTTTCTTAGATAAAAATCATTAATTAGAATCGGACAAAATGGCGAAGCGAAAATTTAAATTAAAAAGACAACAATCGGATCCATCATTACCATACCTTGAGTTGACTTATTAGCTGAAAAGGGGAAACATTTTGTGATTTAGTCAACTAGTTAGTTATTATTATTCATTATGACTATCACTATTATTATCAAGTTGATGATGATGATGATGATGGCGATGATTATTATTATTATTTAAATTTTGTTGATCTCAGATTCTCACATGAAACAAAACAAAAAAAGGTAAAGGGAGTAAACGAGCTTTTAACAAGCTCTAAATGAACAGACTCAACATTGAAAACGGACTGAATTAAAAAAGAAGAGATATGAATTAATTTTAATGAATAGGATTAACATGTATCATGATGATTAAAAGAAGATGTTGTAGATAAAAATTATCTTCACGGTTAAGACCATAATCATTATAATTGTAAGACAAACTTGTCTGACCACACAAGCATATTCAGTTCTTGCTCTTCTTTTCCTAACATAATCGTCCTTTTTTTACCCAAACAGTTTAATGTTTAATTTTATTTATTTCAACTTTATTCAAGTTGATGCATGAATTTTAAACATGATATTAATAAAAGACAATTTGTACTCAATTAGAGATAATCAAATCAATTAGCACTTGCAGGTTGAAGAGCAATATGAAAACAAAATAATGAATACAAGGAATCATTAATGGTTTTATGTTTTTGTTAACTTGCTGCTACAGACTTGGAATATCTTGAATTATCTTAATGTACATACACTTAATGTATTGATTAAAAATAGCCTAACAAGCCTTTTAATCATGACTGTGATTAAGGTGAATGAAAGATTATTAAGATGATTATGAAGATGATAATGAGCAGTACAGCGTTACTTGCAATTGCGTGATTCAATCAATTTTAATTTAATTGGAAAAAATAAAGTAAATATAAAATTGGAAATCGATGAGTAAATTGTTAGCTTATGTTTTCTTGATACAAGCTACATTTAACTTGTCCAAACCATGAAAACAGGTTTATCAGTACATTAAATTGAATGTTTATCAGTTGCAATTTATTCTTGTTGATATTGAATAGTTGAATGTTAAGAGTTTAATCACTGAACATGATTATTATTAAAAATAATTTGCCGATTATGATGGTCAATTGACTCAATTTGCAAGTGTTTAATTTATTCAAGTCAGGACATTGGATGACGTAAACAAATGCTGATCAAATGATTAATGCTTAGTGTTCGTAAGCAAACAATCAAATTAATCATTAATATGACTGGAATCGTTAAACATCTCTCAATTGAATAGATTTATGAATCTGCCAATTCAGGTAAAAATTAAATGATCGCATGAAAAAATGCTTTTCTAGCTGCTTACTTGACCAAGATTGAAGATGAGCCAATTGACTTAACAATTCTGATTATCAAATAAAAATGATAAAAATCAAACTAATAAGAATTGTGGACAATAAGGTGAAAAACTTGACAATTAACTACATTTTTGTTTAAGTTGAGAAATGAATGAAAATTGGGCCAATGTGGTTTTGATTCAGTTGCCAACAAGATAATGCTAGTAACTTATTCAAACATCAAAAACAATTAAAGATTGTATTTCAAGTAAAGGAATCAAAATTTTGATTTGACTCGCTAGATCGCTGGATCTCATTGAGAATGTATGAGCCATTTCCGCAAGAAAAATTTAAGTAAAGGGTGACAATACCATTCGATTGACGAACTTAAGGAATCGATCGCCCAAAAGTGGAATAACATCGATCAATGATACAGAACTTTATTTTGTCTGTGAGATAGATTAGATTTAAATGCTAAAATGATGATAGCACACATTATTAGTTCAATTAATATCGAAATTAAAAAGCGTCCTTAACTCCTGTCAATTCCGCTCAAATAATATTTTTTTCAATCAAACTTGAAATTAAACAGATGACTTAGTTTTCTTGTTTTTCATGAATCATGACTAACTTTGATCATAATATCAAACAAGGACAATTTTTTCTGAATATTTAAATCTTTATTATTAAATTAAATGCGGTCCTTAATGTCATGCAACCTTTATTGATGCTGTATGTCTGTTTTGACCAAAAGTCCAAATGGATATTCCTTATTATGGACGGCTTAGAGGTGACTAGAAAAGCAATTATCCCTATTTAAGCTTCAATTAAATAATTCTTTTCTAATAAACGGCCGTTTTTGGTAAGTAATTGGTCAAAGTTTGTAGTTTATGCAGAAAATGATCTGATATTTGTTTTCGAATTTAGATCGAGTTTAGACCATTTAGATATAAGAACTGCAGATAATGACATCGGTCTCATTATATTTCCATTACGAGCTGGTAAACATGACTGACAATTATAAATACTGATATTGACCAAAAATGTGAATTAAAGTTTGCCAAATTTGTGACTCAAGCATTTAGCTCACATAGCAATCAGCAATCACACGCTTCAGCAATCATTGTGGTAGTTTGTTGAGCTTCCGTGAGTTATCATCAGGAATAAGGTGAGTAGATGAAGATGTTAAAAGAAATCTCACAATTGAACAGAGCAAAATGGCTGGGAAAGGTAACAATCAGAGAAAGTTGTTTAATTTACTCATATTAACCATGAAATGAATTGACATGAAATGCAAAAAGTTCCATAATATATTATTAGAAAATATAGTGAACTGAAATAACAAACCAACGGAACTCTATTCATTATAAAATAATGAGTAATTATAAGAATCTGTCAATTCAGGTAAAATCTGAATATTTACAAGAATACTAGGTTTTTTCTGCTGCATTCTTGACCGTGATTGAATAAAAGAAACATTTGTTGAAAATAAGTCGAATTTTTTTAATTGATTTAGTGATTCAACAATTCTGAGCCTTTGCTACAACTTTTAATCAAAATTTTGAGGGTCTATTAAATTTCGCTTATGTCAATAACTCCTTATATAATATAAATTCTAATCTTTATAATAATTAATAGGGTAGAGGGGACTGTTGATGATGAATGTGTATGTTGTACGTGAATAGTCATGATAGAAGATGAAAACAATATGATAACACTTTTTACAATATTTTGATGAGAAAGAAATAGTCCGATTTAACCGTATTTACAAGAAAAATATCTTTTTATGAACATTCCATTGACTCGGGAGTTATAATGAAATCCGATAAATCTGGTTTGCCTTGCAATTGTAGATTCTGAAAGTAAATTAAAATAATGGACAATTAGTGTCGAATTGAAAAAGAATATCAAGTTTTTGTAAAATGTAAACCCAAAGAAAAATAACAAACCTTCTCGTTAGTTAAATGTAGAAGTGCTACAAAAGCTATTGGCACACTCAGATTATTTGCCATAGAAGTTCCGACTCTATCAGGTAGCTTTTTGTACATATTAGAGAAGGTTAAGTCTTGCTCCAGACTATTAGAATGACACACTTCAGAACTTTCCACCTGGAAACAGAACAAAAAAGAGAAAAGTTGTTAGTAAGCAATAATAAGCATACATGTTTTAACCAAAAAAAACTTCGACTTACATTATCGGAAGAGCTTAAATTAGCCGTTGATTCTGTACTAGGCTCTTGGTCATTGTTTGTAGATGGTTCTTTGTTTTGCGAAGACTCGGGAGTTTTATTTACAATATCACTAGTTACAATAGTCCACATTTCTTGTTTTAATCTTTTCACGTCAATTTTTTTGGCATGTGTTGAAAATGGTAAAGCCGTTGATGATACAGCAAATGGTTCATCAACAAGGTTGTCTCCAGAAAATGGTGCATTAAAAGCTTGAGTTGAGAAACATTCTTGAGTTGGCGGGAACTCATCGTCATAGTGATTATCCATACCAGCATCCAAGCCAGGGGAAGACCTTCCATCTGAACAATTATCGTTCATGATTGAAGGTTCATCATTTTTATTAGGATCGATTCCTGTTCTTCTTAAGATGCTAAATGTTGTACCTTCTTTAAGGAAAGGTTTGATCAATCTTATTGGCTCGTAAGAAACGTCACTGGGTAAAAGTCTTTCAGTCCAATTGGACAGAGTTGAGAATTTTAATTGTGTATCTGTGCTACCATCTTCCTCGGCAGGAAGAGTTTGCTTGAAATCGATTTCAGAAAATTGGTTCTTGGGTTTTCGTGCACTTTTTGGAGCTGCCAAAGCTTGCGTTTTCTTAGCCCCACGTTTGGCCAAGGGATTCAACTTCCAGTGTTCAGGGCCAGCCCATACTCCTAGAAGTTCCTTATTGAAATAAGTATATTCAGATGGTTCATCAGATAAGGCTTTAACTAATTTATCAAAACCATCTGAGTCAACGGTACGCATTAAATATTGATTATTTAATGATTGACTATAATTATTTTCAATCACAGTCTTTTCCAAGCCATCCTCTTCACCATCGGATCTGACTGAATCGTGATCAAAGAAACCACCAGGATCATGGTGATCATCATTGTCCAAAGGTTCCAAAGAAGCTTCAAAGGGCTGTGAATGAGAAATTCCAGCGTCTAATGCGAAACTCAATTTATCTTGTGTTTGGGTTCCCGCTCTTAGAGTAGAAATTGAGTTGTCCAAGTCTTCACCGCGAGACAGAAACTCAAATTTAGATAATTGGGGTACAATCTGTGGTCTTTGGTTCAAAATTCCATCAATTAATGATCGATCCAATTTAACGTCATGAGTTTGACTATCAGTAGAGGTTATTTCGGTTGGGTTTAACAGTAGTAAACCATCTTCATTCAAGCACAGATTTGACATAAGAAGACCATTTACATTACCAACATCAAAAGAAGATGAAAGTAAGGAAAACAATGGATCAGGTGGAGTATTACATTCAACTTTTGCAGTATTCAAGCTTTCAATATTGGTTGCTATAGTTTTGACGGTTTTTCTACCAACTTTTCTTCTTTTAGGTCTAGTTTCACCATCATCGTTGACTTCATCTCCATCTAAATCACCTTCGTTATCTTCTCCTTCTTTCGATTTATCTTTATCCAAAGCAATAACCAAACCTAAAAAATAAAAAAATAAAAAAAGAGGAAAAAAAGATGAAATGAGATAAAGCGGGAAATTGATAAGGAAACAGAACGTAATCTTAAGGTTGGAAATGATGCAATGCTTAGTTTCGATGAACAAATTGAATAGAACCAACGCATGAATGATAAAATAGATTCATAAGCTAAATTGCTACAAAAAACATAATTAGGCCAAAAGAAAACTGAAATTACCTGATGCAACTTTTTGAGCTTCAGCTTGGACACAATCAACACGATGGCCATAAATTTTGGCTCCAGCATCCAAAGCACTGCTGACAAGTTTAAAGTTTATTTTTTCATTGGGTTTCTGTCTGATTAAATGGCTCATACAATCGATTAACCGTAATCCGAAAGCATTTTTACTGTTGATTTTATTAGCCGCAGATAACTTAATACACTCAGTGTAAACAGCGGTAACTTCTTCTTCAGGTGCAGCTGAGCGTCTGCTTAATGGAGTTCCTGGCCTAAAAACAAAGAATAGATAAAGATAAATTAGTTTTATTGTTAATTATCAATCCTAAAGGTAAACACAAGTGTTAACATCAAAAGAGATATCAATGTTGAAAGTAGAACAAACCAAAAAGTACACCATTAAGAGCAATAAAACATTACCTTGGAGAGTTTCTTCCAAGAGGAGTACCAAAAGTATTTCTAGGGCCAGTAATGGCTTCTCTGATTCGAAGAGGATTCCTTTCAGCACTAACGGGGGTAGTTGAAACAGATTCAATATTATGTAATCCAAGGGATCTACGTTGTTGAGGTGTTAACTGGGCTCTTTCCACAGAGACAAAAGGGTCAGTACTTTTACCAGTCGATCTACCGATGTTTTTTCTCCTTTTTCCATGGTCAACCGTTTGAGGTTCATCTCCAGAATCACCCGTGTTAAGCTTACGTTTGATATGAACTGAGCACATAGTATTAATTAAAAGTAAGATGATAAATAAAGAAACCAGAAAGGGAAAAGTAGATGAGGAAGAACAAAGAGAAAAGGAGAGAACACAAGATACAAAAAGTAGGACCCTTTTTAGATGAAAAAATGAAGATTAGGGGTTGACTTTAGGATACAAAAGGGTTGAAAAAGGTGATTTTGAAAATTGTGAAATCGAATTAAAAAAATAATCACCAATTAAATGAAAAACAATTGTCAAAACATAAGATAAGATTAGACTCCCGCTAATTCATTCTTGCTCATATAAAAATATACGTTGGTAAATCTATTTGCTGGAGCTTCTATGATTGGCTGATGATCATATCACTATAGTAACAAATAAGCTATTTTCATGGCTACCAGATGGAGCTATGCTAGTTTAAACCAAAAGCGCGGAAAAAAACTGAAAGTTTCTCCTTCACTTTTGAAAAGTTTGATGTTTATTTACAATACTCTTTAACAGTCTTGATCGTAGTTAAGTTGATCAATTTCGATCACTTTTTTTCCTTCTTCCTTCCTTTCTCCTCTCCATTTTTCCCTTTCAACTTTCTACCAAATTTATTGATTGGGAATCATGTCTCTTGAAAACGATAAAAACAGTGTCACCTTGTGCTCATACCAACGGGTAAATGAAAAAAATGTTATTGGAGGAGGAGGAGGTTTTGTTAGTGAAACACCGGCAGTGAAAGTTTGTAAAGTTCGTCTTTCATATGGTCGAGGTAAAAATGCTAAACAAATTTTATCCAACATTGATTTGACTGTGCCAGAAGCTTCTATTTATGGTCTTTTGGGACCAAGTGGATGTGGTAAAACCACATTGCTTCGATGTGTTGTTGGTCGACTTTCACCTTCCTCTGGTTCCATTAGGATATTTGGTTTTCGCCCTGGTCAACCAGGTAGTCAAATACCTGGACCAGCAGTTGGATATATGCCTCAAGAAATTGCTGTTTACGAGGATTTCACTATTGAGGAGACACTTATTTATTTTGGTCGACTTTTTCGTTTGAGCAGTCATGTTCTTCGTGAAAGAATAGAGTTTTTAATTAAATTCCTTGATTTGCCTAGTAAATCTCGCTTAGTTGCCAATCTTAGTGGAGGTCAGAAGAGACGTGTTTCTCTGGCCGCTGCTCTAGTTCACAGCCCACCTCTCTTGATCTTGGATGAACCTACAGTTGGTGTAGATCCACTTCTTCGCCAATCAATATGGCAACATCTAGTTACATTAACTCAAGTGGAGAGAATCACCATAATTATAACTACCCATTATATCGAGGAAGCTCGCCAAGCTCATGTTGTTGGATTAATGAGACATGGGCATCTTTTGGCCGAAGACTCGCCGGAATCATTGTTAAGACATTACCAAATGGAAACTCTAGAGGAAGTTTTCTTGAAACTATGCATGGCTGATGCTACTAATCGTGAAGTTACTACCTCAAACCTCTCAGTTCCACCAACCACGGAGTTAGTTCAATCAACCAAAAAGGATACAAAGGTTTGTGTTTTTTTGGCTAATTTTGCTGCCAAAATAACCTAATTTAAATTTAATTTTGTTTTAACTCATAACTTAACTTAAATGAACGAAAACTGGTTTATCCAGTTTATCCATTATTGGAAAGTATTAACTTCCAATCAGTTAATACTAAGCTCCGATATCTCCTGTTGGCTTTCATGTCGCCAGGGTGTACGGGAATGTAGTATTTTGTTATGTTTATTAATATAAATCAGTAAAAGTATCATTTTTGGCAAAATAAATGCAGGAATGAAAGGAGTAAATAAGGAAAAATAAGAAATAGGAAGTGATTGCATACATTTTTCTTATCTAATTGGCATGGCTAAATTACTAATCACAATTTTTTACACTTTTACTGTTTTTAGTTACCTTCGGTGTTTTCAATTTATTCAAATTATTCTGATTACAATTTGAACCCCAAACCTGAAATAAACAACTTACGCTCTTCCGGAGGCAAAAAATATGAATCGAAACGTTTAACTTTTGGTGAATATTGGGCAACAACAATGGCATTATTTTGGAAAAATATGACTCGACTTCGGCGTAATATTCCTGTCCTTTTGTTCCAATTTGCTCTTCCTGCGATTCAAGTGATTCTGTTCTGTATTTGTATTGGTGCTGATCCATTTAACATACCATTGGCTGTAGTTAATGAAGATACTGGACAAATATATTCACGTGATTTCCTTAAAGAACTTGACCCTTACATTGTTGATCAACATAACTTTACATCAGTAGATGAAGGTAAAGAAGCGGTTAGAAACGGGTCGATGTGGGGTGTGCTACATATACCGGAAAGGTTTTCTCAAGCATTATTGGCTAGGTAAGAGTTGATCATCGATTTATGTGAGACAAGTAAACATAATTGATGACAAATATTAAACAAGGACAAAGAAGACAAGAGTAAATAAGAGAATAAGAAAATAAGAAAAGAAAAGGAATAAAATGGGATAAAATGAAATAAAAAATGAATGAAAATTGAGTAAAAACAAATTGAAAGTTAAATGATCAACAGAATCAAGATTGACATTTTGATAGCTGTTGATTATATTGTTATTGCTATAGTATAATGTAATGTGATGTTGTTAGCCTTTAAACTTTACTCTTGCTCTTACTGTTCTTACTTTCACTTTCACTTTAACTTACTTTTTTTTATATTTTCCCCCATCTAGAATGCTTCGAGGTGAGGAAGTGGACAACAAAACAATTGAGGACAGTACAATCAAGGTTTACCCTGATTTAACAAGTAAGTGAAGTCTGACGATTATATGAGATGTAGAATGAGGGGAAAGAATGAATAATTTGGATAGAGAGACACGAAAAAGTGAGAGAGAAACAGGAAAATAGAATGAAAGGTCTATTAATTGAATGAAAAAGTTTGAAAAGATGAATGAGAGAGAAAAAAATTGAGCTACTTAAGACTTATTGAATTCGCTTTCAGTTTGATGAACTTGAACAGATGTTGATAATGAAGAACAAAGTAAAGTTTACTTGAAAGGTTGAACCTGGTCATGAAAAGAGCTCTTTTAGACGTCCAAGGTCCACACCTCATCTTCCTTATATTTCAATTAACGAAATTGACCAAAGCAATATGTAGGCTAATAATTTCCTAATTACTGTTTGCAGATCAACAAATTTCATATACAATGGAACGAACATTCAAAGAGGCGTTTCAAGAATTTGCCAAAAAAGCTTTGACTGCCGCAGGAAGGAATCCTGCCTTAGCTGAATTTCCACTTGCCGTGAGTGTTTACTGCCTTTTTCGTCCATTCCCAAAACAAGCTTTGTCATTGGGAAAACATTATCATTTAACTCTTTTTTATTTAAATTTCGTCAATATTTGACATATAGCTCGGAGAACCTGTTTACGGTGAATTAAAACATCAAGGATATCTTGAATACATGGCACCAGGAGTTGTTGTTAGTATAAGTTACATTATGGCTACAGGTTTGACCGCGCTTGCATTCATTTTGGAACGTCGAGATGGACTTTTTGAAAGGTCATTAGTTGCTGGAGTGGATACTCTTCAAATTTTAATAGCACATGCATTGACTCAAATTATTGTCATGGTTGTTCAAATAATGTTGGTCCTAGTATTTACATTCTTGGTATTTGATATACCATCGAGAGGACCGTTTGGATGGGTTATAGTATTGTTATTACTACAAGGATGTACTGGTATGGCCTTCGGTAAGTTAATCACTTCAATAATAATCATACACATGAATCATGGGTATTGTAGATACCAAGATTTAACCATCATTAATGTTCGTAGAGGAATATTGGAAGAATCAGAATCATTGATATAAAGGAAATTTAGCATTTAAAATCGACGAAATTACAGACATTTGCTATCAAACAATTATGTGTTGAATGTAAAAAGCAAAGAAACACCTTAAATTAGTATAATTCGTTAATAGTTGGGTTTGTGTGATGTCATCGAAGGTTATGTTTACTCAATCTTATTTGATTGGTAATGATTTTCAATAAATTTTTACCTGATTTATTCGATTGGATTAAAAGGAGAAAGGGAGAGATTCAATGTTTAATGATAATAATAATGTTGCCTTTCAAATTGAATTTTTTTTCCTGGTTAATTAAGGTTTGGATTTTCCTTTTTTAATATAACTCTTTTTTTCTTTCTTCTCTTACCTTCTTACCACAGGTCTCGTTGTATCTGCAACATGTCACCAAGAAAATACTGCAGTAATGATGATTTTAGGAACATTTTATCCCAATTTAATTTTATCTGGAATCATTTGGCCTTTAGAGGCTATGCCATATTGGATAAGATGGTTTAGTTATATCCAACCTCAAACATTACCAACAGAAACACTTCGTCACATTTTATCTCGAGGCTGGGGAATAACTGAACCTGGAGTTTACATTGGTTTCCTCGTTACTTGCTCATGGATGGCCTTTTTCTTAGTAGCTGCTGCAGTTATCTTCAAGTACAACAAATAAGTTACCAATCAATTTCATCGCCGATCAATCAATTCATCAATTATACATCAATTGAAACCCGAAATTCACAAGGCAATTTTTCTATCAACTTTTTTATTCCTTAATTTTTCATGAATGAAACTAGAAAACACAAAAGGCTCCATAAAAAACGAATCACTGACAAGATGATACGACTTTACAATTGTAAATATACTGCGTTTACTTACTGTTTTGACAAACGACATTCATTTTTTTTCTTCCTACTCACTTCACTTCATTATCATCTGCCATTGATTTGTTTTTTATATTTTTTTATTTGTGAGAACGGACTTGAGTCCGAATCAAGACTTGTCCAATGAAAATTGGAATTAAAACTTTTAAAAATGTGATGCAAACATCTTCCTCTTTTTTGAATCTTAACCAAATTGCAACGATAGGCTTAATTTCTTTATATTATCGGGGTCGAACTTTATTTGAAAATTATGCATTGATGTTGATTGAATCGATTGAATTGATTATATGGCTACATTCAACTGAAAAACGGCGTCACATTTCATCTCGAAATTGAGGAATAACTGAACTCGAGTTTACTCTGGTTTCCTTGTTACCTGTTCTGAAGGATGATTTTTTTGTTTAGTAGCTGTTGCAGTTATCTTCAAATTCAATAGTGTGAATATTTATTCATCCATTTTTCATCCATTCATTCATTCCATTGTAATTCATATCTCATTTGAGACTCGCAATTGTAAATCCAATCATTATCGATGTCACCTTTTATGTCAAGGCTGACTATCTTTACTTCCTTCGACAAATTGTAAATTTTTGTGAAAATAAAAAAGTTAAAGCAGCGCTTTTCTATTCAAGATATTTACCGAACTCTTTACTCTTCCCACAAACCAAGACCAACCCTTTTAGTTCGATTGATATTTGGCTCTCTACTGGCATATTTAAACACAAATCAATAGCATTAATAAGCATAAAGCAATAAAACTATGACGATATTAACTACCTAATGTAAAAATATGGAGGTGAAATGTTTTTGCTTGTTTATTGACAATACAGTCGAAATTGAGTCAACAAAAGTGGAATCTTTTTCATAACTCACAACTATTGTGATCAGTTATCATCGCTCTGATTATCAATTCTAGTTCACAGCTTAATAGTCTACAAATTAAACGGTTTTCAGTTCTATCCATATTCCAGTATTCGCAGTGAAATCCAATGTTTCTTACTATAAAAACTTCAATGATCCAAAGAGACTTTTGTTTGTACAAAATCAGTTTCAGTAGTTTTTTATTACACTATTGTCTATTACTGCTTTGCTATTTACAAATTTGCTTGTAACACAAGTGCATTGTACATGATAATTGACACTCATGAAGCATAACACCTTTGAAGCTTTAATTCACGACCAATCAATACAGAAAAACACAAAATCAATGAAATAATGGAATATTTTTCAATTTTGATTTCTTCTGATTTAAGATTTCCTTTGACAACCAAGTTATTCTCGTTTTAGTCATCCATTGTGACAGAAGTTGATGAATTGGCTTGATCCTTATCTGGCCCATTTCAATTTGTGACTTAAAATTATTTCATAAACAGACTTTAATCTTAATTGAACCGTAATTTTTAAGATTACTTGCTCTTATTAACAATATCTTCCCGTCAGCTAAACACTTGTTCACTGTTACCCAAAAGATGAGTAGTCAACTTAAAATCAGATATCATCATCAATGATCATCTACTTTTCCTGAGGCTGTTGTTTTCTGATGAAGATTGGAAAGGATGAAGTTAAAAACACTTTACGTTTCATCCGCTTCTTAAAAACTGAAATATACCTGAAACATTTCACTTTCACCTCCTACTATCTGTTTGCTTTTTCCTTCTATTGGCTTCCTTTCCTCCTGATTAGTCTGATAATCTGAAGTGAAAACTGGTCCATGGTGTTTGTACGGTGAAACAGGTTTAAGATGATTGAAGTAGAAAGTAATACAAGTAAAAATCAATCAAAAACAGTAAAATATAATTAGCTTTAAGTGTAAATAATTTGTTTATTGTCGGATCACAATAAAATTTTGAGTCTTTTGTTTGCATGAAAAGGATTGATAGATAGCTTATAACGACTATTGTTGAAGCGTCTCTCAATACAAATCATATTTAAACAATATTATTTACATTAAATGGAAATGTGGAAAGTTGAGAAATGATGAATGATTATAATTACCAGAATTTGGGAAAATACTGATGATCAGACCTCTATCCAATACAAAGTGTCCTTTCATCGAATGCAGCCTTTTTTTGCTTTACAGGGATCAAAATTTCAAGTTTAAAGGTTACCAATTATTACTCATTTATCCGTAACGTCAAGTGGATAATGGTGTTAATTATCCAGCATAAAAGCAATTAGAGGTTATTCCAAGTTGTTAAGGTAAGGTCAATTTGCCAAGTTGACTAACGTTAGTTGACTGAAAACTGAAAAAATATCGGCTGTTAGAAAATTGAAGAAACTTTCACTCTTACTTACCTTTTTTTATCCATTTTTTGCGTTGTTGCACTTGTTGATTATTGATCACCTATTTGCTTGATTTAGCTTAATAATGTTCATAAAATACTTACAATTATAACAAAATATAAAGACAATTTAAAGTGACCCAATTGATTGTAAAATACACATAACATTACAATAACATATAAAACAAGCAGAATGAAAACAAAACAAAAATCAAATAAAAAAGACAATTAACAAAGATAAAGAGGTTGTTACTACAGTTTTACGGCCTTCGGAATGTTTATTAATCAAATTCTTACTTCAATTATCAACCGAAACTCGCCCTTGATAATTGAATTAATCAAATGGTTAATGCAATATTTTATTTGAATCCAGATTAACGGTTAAGACCAGATGAAAATAGAGTCAACAGTTAAATAATTAACATTAGATGGCGTTAGTTCACAATTTTAAATCGACGTAATAGTTAACGGAACAAAAAAGCTTTGAAATTCTGGTCCAGAATTTCTGGTTGATGTTCATTTTTGAATCAATTACCGAAGATAATCAGCAAGTCAACAGTAATTTTTTTATCAAATTGATCTACAGTACATTTTCATCCAAAACTTCAGTCAATCAGCTAATCGAGGATTTCGATGTCGATGAAAATCTATTCAGTGAAAAAATGTTGACCAACCTTATTATACTGTTTGGTTGATGTTTAAATGATAGACTACGACATAACCCTAATCGTATTATTCAAGAACATGGAACTATCATGTCTTAGTAGCGACGTAAACTCAATTATTCATTAATACCGGTTAAAGCTTTTAAATGTTTTCTCTTTTTTCAACAGTCCATATCATTATCTAAACTACCACTTTTCATGTTCAGATTGATCAGATTGTTTATCATGAAGCGAAAGATTTTACTGCAGGTTACTTTAAGCATCTGAGATTTTATCAACCAAATGGTAATAATATTAACTTTGATTTCACTATTTTGGTTAAAATAAATGAACCATATTAACCCATTGATTATAGAAAACATGAAAAAAACAAAGCGTCCAAACGGTTTATGAAAAATTTGATCAAATACAAGGCTTAGTCAGGTTGGTTGAAGCTTTGCAAAAATACATCTTGAAATATTTCTTTGGTTAAGCAGGTAAAATCAGGTTTTTACTTAGGTGGCTGGTTAGTACTTGGCTAAATTCACAAGGAAAAACAAACTTAAACACCTGATGAGGACCAAAGATAGCTGGCTCCTTACTGTCGAGAGTTAAAGGTAAAGATAAGATCTTTTAAGAGGAGATTAAAAATGGTCAACGTGATGGTCAAAGAGGACAACAGTCAACAGAAAATCTTTCCCGCGTAGTCCACCTTTACCTCAACTCAAGTTGGATGTTTACTTTACCTGTTTGAGCTACCTTTATTGGCTAATGGAGCTTTTTGCTGTTCAATCAAGTATGAATTCTCAGCAATAGATGACGCTTGTTGTTGTTGGATGAAAACTTTTTTTGAATTTTCTCTTTCACTTTCCTTGTATGATTAAGGAGAGACTTCTTTTATTACAAGTTCAGTTTAAATTGATTTTAAGTTGTGTTGGTTACTTTTAAATTTACCTGTACTTTTTTTCCTCATACTCTTCTCTTATTTGGTTGTGTATTTTTTTAAATAATGGGTGACAGTGATAAAAATAATGTCACCTTGTGCTCCTATCAACGAGTTAATGAAAAAATTGGAGGCACTGGAGTAGGAGGTGGGATTGTTGTCAACTCAACACCTGCGGTCGAAGTTCGCAAAGTTCGCCTCTCTTATGGAAGGGGTAAAAATGCTAAATCAATTTTATCCGCTATTGATTTAACTGTGCCCGAAGCTTCTATTTATGGTCTTTTGGGACCAAGTGGATGTGGTAAAACCACATTGCTTCGATGTGTTGTTGGTCGACTTTCACCTTCCTCTGGTTCCATTCGGATATTTGGTTTTCGCCCTGGCGAACCAGGTAGTCAAATTCCTGGGCCAGCAATTGGATATATGCCTCAAGAAATTGCTGTGTATGAGGATTTCACTATTGAGGAGACACTTATTTATTTTGGTCGACTTTTTCGTTTGAGCAATCATGTTCTTCGTGAACGTATTGCCTTTTTACTATCATTTTTGGACCTTCCCGTTAAAACACGTTTAGTTGCCAATCTTAGTGGAGGTCAGAAAAGACGTGTTTCTCTGGCCGCCGCTCTAGTTCACAGTCCACCTCTGTTGATTCTAGATGAGCCTACAGTAGGAGTAGATCCACTTCTTCGTCAATCAATTTGGCAACATCTGGTTACATTGACCCAGGCTGAGAAAATAACCGTCATTATCACAACCCATTATATTGAAGAAGCTCGACAAGCAAATGTTGTTGGATTAATGAGACATGGACATCTCCTGGCTGAGAATGCACCTGAAGAATTATTACGACAATATCGAATGGAAACTTTAGAAGATGTTTTCTTGAAATTGTGTATGGCCGATACAACTGGCCGAGGTGTTACGACATCAACAAATCTATCAGTTCCTCCAACACCCGATTTAAAATCCAAAGATGGTTCTAAGGTAAGAAGTTGCACAATATTCCTAATATGTGATGAGTAATACAATTAGTTATTTATTTTCGATTTTTAGCAATTTCCCTCAGTATTTTCAATATACTCCAATAACTCTGAATTTAATCTACCACCAACACCCAAACCTGAGATGGGCTTTGATTCATCTACTCTTAACTTGGTTCCTGAAAACAATGGAGTAACGAATATTTCGGGTTCAAATGGATCTACAAATATGAGTCTTACTCGAAGAAAGTCAAAGGGATCTAAATATGAATCGAAACGTTTAACTTTTGGTGAATATTGGGCAACAACAATGGCATTATTTTGGAAAAATATGACTCGACTTCGGCGTAATATTCCTGTTCTTTTATTCCAATTTGCTCTTCCTGCGATTCAAGTAATTCTATTCTGTATTTGTATTGGTGCTGATCCATTTAACATACCATTGGCTGTAGTTAATGAAGATACTGGACAAATATATTCACGTGATTTCCTCAAAGAACTTGACCCTTACATCGTTGATCAACATAACTTTACATCAGTAGATGAAGGTAAAGAAGCGGTTAGAAACGGGTCGATGTGGGGTGTACTACATATACCGGAAAGGTTTTCTCAAGCATTATTGGCTAGGTAAGAGTTGATCATCAATTTATGTGAGACAAGTAAACATAATTGATGACAAATATTAAACAAGGACAAAGAAGACAAGAGTAAATAAGAGAATAAGAAAATAAGAAAAGAAAAGGAATAAAATGGGATAAAATGAAATAAAAAATGAATGAAAATTGAGTAAAAACAAATTGAAAGTTAAATGATCAACAGAATCAAGATTGACATTTTGATAGCTGTTGATTATATTGTTATTGCTATAGTATAATGTAATGTGATGTTGTTAGCCTTTAAACTTTTACTCTTGCTCTTGCTCTTACTCTTACTGTTCTTACTTTCACTTTCACTTTAACTTACTTTTTTTTATATTTTCCCCCATCTAGAATGCTTCGAGGTGAGGAAGTGGACAACAAAACAATTGAGGACAGTACAATCAAGGTTTACCCTGATTTAACAAGTAAGTGAAGTCTGACGATTATATGAGATGTAGAATGAGGGGAAAGAATGAATAATTTGGATAGAGAGACACGAAAAAGTGAGAGAGAAACAGGAAAATCAGGTAAAAAAGAGTAAACGTAAAACGAAGAAAGTGAATGATGAAAAAAACGAAAGTGATGAAAATGAAAGGAAGAGAAAGCTCTCAAGATTTAAAGTGTGCTACTTAAGACAGTTAACTTTCTTTTGTATTGTATTCAATTTGATGAACTTGATTAGATGTTGATCGTGAAGCTTTAGTAAGGTTTATTTGACAGATTTAAACAAGGTCATGAAAAATTCCTTTTTCTGGATTCCAAGGTCTTTACCTGATCTTCCTCCATTTTTCAATTAATAAAAATTGACAACTTTGAGAGCTAACTAAAATTTCCAATGTTTCGATATTAACGCAAACCATCAATTGAAGAAAAAAACCAAATTTTCCAATAAGAAGAATGCATTTGATGAATAGCAAAGCTGTGTATGTGTGACATCATTGTTTGCTTAGATGATAAACTAATAATTTTTTTCCTTCTGTTCACAGATCAACAAATTTCATATACAATGGAACGAACATTCAAAGAGGCGTTTCAAGAATTTGCCAAAAAAGCTTTGACTGCTGCAGGAAGAAATCCTGCCTTAGCTGAATTTCCACTTGCTGTGAGTGTCTGAAACATTTTTACCTATTACCGTAGTATTATTGCCATCTTAAGCTGTGTACAAAGAGTCAGTCTTACCGGTTCTACTTCCTTAGGGAGATTTAAAACTATAAGCTAATAGCTTAGAGTTTTTAGTTGATGAAGGCAAAAATTGCCTGTGGACTTTCCCTTATTGCTTGTGGACAGCCATAGTCAATTATATTGGGAATAAAGCTCGCTAATGCTAATTCATGAAAAGAGTATAAACATGGAATAAGATTTCCAAGTAATTGACTAAGAAAGTAGAGAGACAAGAAATATACCTGATGACAATGACACTGATTATAATTCAATTTTTATTTTTTCATTTTTTCTTCCTATCGACTTATCAAAAAATATTTTCTAATGATTTGAAATACTATTAGCTTGGAGAACCTGTTTATGGTGAATTAAAACATCAAGGATATCTTGAATACATGGCACCAGGAGTTGTTGTTAGTATAAGTTACATTATGGCTACAGGTTTGACCGCGCTTGCATTCATTTTGGAACGTCGAGATGGACTTTTTGAAAGGTCATTAGTTGCTGGAGTGGATACTCTTCAAATTTTAATAGCACATGCATTGACTCAAATTATTGTCATGGTTGTTCAAATAATGTTGGTCCTAGTGTTTACATTCTTGGTATTTGATATACCATCGAGAGGACCGTTTGGATGGGTTATAGTATTGTTATTACTACAAGGATGTACTGGTATGGCCTTCGGTAAGTTAATCACTTCAATAATAATCATACACATGAATCATGGGTATTGTAGATACCAAGATTTACCAATAGATAACAACATCATTAATGTTCGTAGAGGAATATTGAAGAATCAGAATCATTGATATAAAGGAAATTTAGCATTTAAAATCGACGAAATTACAGACATTTGCTATCAAACAATTATGCGTCGAATGTAAAAAGCAAAGAAACACCTTAAATTAGTATAATTCGTTAATAGTTGGTTTTGTGTGATGTCATCGAAGGTTATGTTTACTCAATCTTATTTGATTGGTAATGATTTTCAATAAATTTTTACCTGATTTATTCGATTGGATTAAAAGGAGAAAGGGAGAGATTCAATGTTTAATGATAATAATAATGTTGCCTTTCAAATTGAATTTTTTTCCTGGTTAATTAAGGTTTGGATTTTCCTTTTTTAATATAACTCTTTTTTTCTCTCTTCTCTTACCTTCTTACCACAGGTCTCGTTGTATCTGCAACATGTCACCAAGAAAATACTGCAGTTATGATGATTTTAGGAACATTTTATCCCAATTTAATTTTATCTGGAATCATTTGGCCTTTAGAGGCTATGCCATATTGGATAAGATGGTTCAGTTACATTCAACCTCAAACATTACCAACAGAAACACTTCGTCACATTTTATCTCGAGGCTGGGGAATAACTGAACCTGGAGTTTACATTGGTTTCCTCGTTACTTGTACATGGATGGCCTTTTTCCTAGTAGCTGCTGCAGTTATCTTCAAGTACAACAAATAAGTTGCTCACCAATATAATCTCCTGTCAATCTATCTATTCATCAATTAATTAATTGTACCATCAATGATTACTCGAGCGCTGAAAATTCAACCACCAGAAACTCACAAGGCGATTTTTTATCCACTTTTTTATTTCTTAAGTTTTCCATGAAACTAGAAAACACAAAAGGCTCCATAAAAAACGAATCACTGAGAAGATGATACGACTTTACAATTGTAAATATACTGCGTTTACCTACTGTTTTGACAAACTCCTTTATCATTGTTTTTCCTTCCTATTCTCTTCCCATCATCTGCCATTGATTTGTTTTTTATATTTTTTCTTTATGAGTATGGACCTGAGTCCGAATCAAGACTTGTCCAATGAAAATTGGAATTAAAACTTTTAAACATGTGATACAAATCTTTCTATTTTTTCAATCATAACCAGTAAACATGTCTTACGGCCCGGCTTTGTTGCTTTATATAATCGTGGTTCAACTTTAATAGATCAAGATCTTGGTTATCTTTATGCAGTGAAACAGTGTTTTTATAAAAATTCATGGCTTCCATTTGGGAATTACTATTTGCTCCATAAGAAGTAAATAGGAATAACATTTCTTTTCATTGGATTAAATTGAAATTGTCATTTGAATTTTCTTGAGCAAACTAATTATCTGTTAAATTTGCTTATTGATCAAGGTTGATGATCACCTTTACTACCTTAGGCAAATTGTAACTGGTAAACGAGCAGAAAAAGTAAAAGAAACGCTTTCCAAGGTTTTTTTCCTTTAGATTGCACCAATGCTTAAACATTTCACTTTTACTATTTCTCATCTTTCTTTACTTTCTCTCTCTACTTTCTTTACTTACTTTTTTCCCTACACTTCTCTCCTTTTCTTCCTTTACCTGATCACTCAGATAATCTTAAGAAACACCAAAACTAGTCCATGGTCTGTAAGAACAGGTTTTTTTGCCTTTTAGCTTGAAGATAACTAAAGCCAAAATCAAAATAAAATATAATTAGCAATACAAATAGTAGAAAAGTTGGAAAATTTTTACCTTCTCTCCATTACGATTTCCATACCTTTTTTCACGATTAACTCTGGTACGTAAGCAGATGACTCTTTCACATTTTTAGTGACCGTTTCATGCAAAACAAAAAAACTGGTCTTTCGATTTCTCATTAACATACATATCCAAAGGGATTTTTTATCGCTATTATTCCCAAAGATGATTATTTATAGTTGTTATTGGGTTTAGTATTTACAACATTGGATTTTTGTAGGATTGATTTACATCAGTGAAGCAAACTTATCTTGATTAAAGTAGTGAGTCACTTTTCAGTGACTTCAATAGATTCAATATTTAAACTTTAAAATTACTGAATATCATTAACCGTGCACTACTAAGCATAAGCCAAATGCGGATCTCTTTATATTTTGCCATCTAAAATACACGAAGGCACGAATAAGCACGAAAAAAATCGTACAAGCAAGGGCTTCCCTTGTAAGATTAACGACTGAACAAAAATCACAATTAATGGCTTTAAAGTTATCAATTGCTGGCAACTTTCACTGTTAATGATACTTACGAGATGATTTGTGAGCAACAGATAAATGGTTTCTATTGATATTGTTTCTTTTTCCGACTCATGACAAAACTCTCGACGACTGTTGATCTTTCTCACTTATTTAGTGTCTTCTTTGCTTTATATTTAACTCAAGGGTTCTACTTGAAATCACATAATTTAAACCAGAAAATAAAGGTGCTTTTTGAACAACACACACCAAAGGTTGAAACACAGAAAACATCGAACAATTACCTTGTTTGCGGGCAATCAAGCAGAGCACTTATAAGTGAGTCAAGATCATGATGTTGGAAATTTGACCACCAAGACCAAGACTTGTAAGCGCGTCCGAAAGCAAACCGTTTAGAACTCAAATACAGGCACAAATCAAATATGAGAGTTTATGGCTATAATGACTTATCAAAACTAACCGTTTGATTAGTTAGACATTGATAATGGGCAAACGGGAATTTTCATTGTTTCTTTCCGTCAACATTATTCTAATCATCCATTTCAACGATTAATCAAAAATCTTGATATGGTTTAATTTTTTGAAACTTTCTTATTTCAACTCAAACTTATATGTTGATACAATGGCCAGTAATGAAGATAGCAACATCAGGTTTATCTGTTGGGCAACTTTAATAATTCAATTTGACCAGTGGAAAGTTCACACCAAAGCAAGCAAAGGTGAATTAAACGAAAACCGTCTCGACTGTGCCAATCATTTTCTTTTCTTTTGTACCATAGATTAGGTAAGGTAATGCCAGGTCTCTGGTAAACCCATGAGATGCTGGGAAAGTTCATTATTTGTATATCTCTTTTTACATCCATGGATTTAAATTGTTTGATTGTATTTAAACTTTCTGAAGCAATTGAATAAGCTTTTCTCAATTTCGTCACCAATAGTTCTGAAGATGCCGTATAAAATGACGGGACATGAACAAAGATAAGTTGCTAGATAATTTTTTCTAGAATTACATTATTGAACATGAATAATCCATATTTCTTTTTATTTAGCTTCCCCCTTGACCAAGGCAGTGGTTCGATGAATCTGGCAATGGATTGGTTGGAAATGATATTGAAATAACATTCGAATGGACCTTGACAGCTGAAGCTTGGGATGAAAAGGGCTTTGATTCAGATGATTTAACTCGGCTTTATGTCTCGATGTTAGATGATAATGATACTGAACCGTATCGGTTCATTTGTTTACCTCCTCAGGATTTTCTTACAGTTTATCGAGACAACAAGTAGGATTATTGGGAAAAGATACGAGGACAAAATATTCTGCACTAAATGACTCTTTAAAGCATCTGAATCAAAAGAGTCTATGATTACAAGATGGTTCTCAACGAAACATCTTTTTTTAAAAGTGAAACAACATCAGAGAAAGATTCAACCAATAAATTATGTGAAAAGATGTGAATGTAAATACTCCAACTCAATCAACTTTCTACAGTCAAAATGAACAATCAGATTTTGAACTGAATGATGACTGCACCTACACTTCAAGCCCTCCAAAAGCTCCAAGAATCTATTATGATGCTCAACTATGGTTGTTATGTCCATCAAACTCTTTACCCTTATTTGATATAATTTGATATGAAAATTTTGAGAAAGTAAATAATGAAACCTATTCTCTGAAAAGCAATAATTCTGATTTTATATATGAAAGAATGGCAATTCATCTTTTGTTCAACTCATCATAGATGACACCAGTTGTATTAATTTTTCAGTATAAAATGCTCCATTAAAGATGAATTGTAATCAACTATTTTTTGAATTGTTAAACTCTATTTCAATAATCTGTGAATCCAGTTACTTAACTACAGACACTTGTAAATTAGGCTACTAGCTATTCAAACGCAAATATTCTTGCATTTAAAATCATTTAACTTTTCAACCAGCAAATTACCGTTCTGAAAATTTTCCTCTGACAAGTTGCGAGTTAATTTTCTGATTAAAGAGGCAGAATTTAATTGTTATCTCGATATCGTATATCTGAATTCAATAAACGGTAAAATATTGCATGTATATGTATCAATGTATCAATTTTGCTAGACCTTAACCTTTCCCTAAAACTAAATGTTCAAATTCAAGTTTCATAATAACGTGTACTCGGTCGGTTATACCATGCTCGTATTACACAAACATCTCTTTGGGTTATTCATCGACTGTGAATTTGCTCTTTGTATTGAGTATTTTTGATGAGATGTTGCTTCAATACTTTAATAAAGTGAGAGATGAATAATATTCATGTGTCATCATTATAATCCTGACTTTACTTTATCCTTGTCAATTTTTTTGGTTAAAAGTTGAATTATTGTTGCTTCTTGTACAATTTTCCTGTATCATGTACCTGTAAATGTAACTCTTGAAACCAGCCAAAAGCAAATTGAACACGGTTCCAGCCATATCCAAGATCAGACTAGATTAAATGTCAGTCTTCATTTGACTGTTATTTAGTTATTGAGTTGACTCTAGGCTAAGCAATTTTAGACATATTCTTGACCAATATTATGATCACATAAACCTCTTTGGGTTTAGTCTGCATTAAGCCAAGAACCAAAAAACAGTGAATATATTGTATTTATAAAAGTATTTTAATGGCTAATAAGATGACAGTGTATATTGTATTCAATTTAAGGGTCAAGTTTCCCATCTTTTTAATCGTTTATATCGTCTATACTATACAGGATAAATAGCCTTTTAACAGTCAATTATACAGTAAACGGCAAGTGATTATATTGTGCATCATTAAACATTTATTGAAAATTGTTGTCCAAAATCTTTAACATTCAATATGAATTTAACGAGTTTGATGAGTTGTTAGTCTTTTTCTCGTAAACTTTCATCATTCCAATTTACATATCAAGAATTGTCGACCAGTTGACCAGCCAAAACAGAGCTTAGAAACACTGTCACCTCGAGGAAAAGGTTGATTCAATAATTTTCTTAAATGCTTTACGGAACTCGGGGTTAAATATGGTATAAATGACTGGATTAACACAACTGTTCATATAACCAAGCCAAGTTGTTAATAGGAAGACATTCATTCCAGGTTTACAATCGTCTGATTTCAATTTGATACAAATGGCGTCTATTATGTTACAAGTAAAAAATGGTGCCCAGCAAATCAGGAAAACACCTAAGAGAAGAAGAGAAGAAAAATTAAGATTAGATGTTGATGAAAAAAGCAGGAGTAAATTGTTACATGGTAAACCATGATAGAATCGGAAGGAAGGAAAGATGATCACAAATTATCATGAATGTTGAAAGTAATTAGGATGAGCCAAGAAGCTTACAATGAACTGATATCTGAAAGGATCAAAATAAATTAATGAGCAATTGATAAATAGAAGAGTCAAGAAACGTCAGGTTAAATACACGAGATGATAAAAATGAAGATGAATGGCAGAATAATGAGAATAATAAGAATGGAAGAAAATAGCGAAAAAATATTAATAGTAACTATCAAGTGACCATCAGTGATGACAACCAATGATACGATTTCAAGTTGGGGTTAGAGATGTAAGAAATAATTAACGTTAAGCTGACTAACAAAGGTTACAATTCATTTTGACAACAAAAGGTAAAATATTAATATTAACAAAACATCATTATTAATATTGTTTCTCTTTATCATTTCACTTACAGGCAATTAACATGGAAGTTTATGTGTAGAAAAGGGCTTGAGCCAGAAGTGAAAAACACACAAAAAAAGTAAATTAACATATTCGGATTCTGATTGAACCAAAATGTATTGTATTAATCACTTGATCGTCACATCAGTAGGCAGCAAAAACAAAAAACCACAATCAGCTTTCAACATGAATATGATGTTTACACAAATGTATGGTCACATGAATATATCAAGACAATATAATATTAACATTCACTTTCACATTAACCTGAGGATAAGAAATAATATTTGGTTTCATTTTCTGTACTTTTGTTTTCCTTTTTCTCTTTATTCCATGTTGCCTTATTGGAGAGAGGGCAAAAGAAAGTGTAAGCTTTTTTCTTCTTCATATTGTCAGGCATCAAGATGAGTACGTTGAAGCTGAGTATTTTCACAATGATTCTTGAAGACAGGAAAAACCTTGATTGGGTTCAGTTCCCATAAGAGAGTTGAAAAGGACAGGTTAAACTTGGACTAGACAAAGAATGAAACAAAATTACAATTGTTCCCTTTCAATCAATAATAAATCAATGGATATCTTGACGACTTATGTTTGGTCTCTAATCACATTATCAAGAGTCAAGGAAGCACAAAACTCTGTCAAGCTAAATCATAATACATCTCAAGAGGGATCAGAAACTCCTTAATCAGTGTGCCAACACAAAACGAAGCAAACAAAAGGCAAAAAAACAAAGAAAATCCGTAAATTAACTGAAAAAAGGAATGAACTATCGAAGGGAAAAGTGTTAAACTACTAAAGAGCCATCTTTTGGTGGAAATTATTACATTAAAATTACGAAAAATTGCATAATATTTTAAATTTTCCGCATTTTATTCCACTTGTCGCCATCTTTCGGCTGTTGATTCGTCAATCTAACGTTCGATTAAAAAGTTTATTTGTTTAATCAAGTTTTTACGTAATCATTCATGGAGTTATCATCTTTTTCCATCTATTTACAGTTTGTTGGCTTGATAAAATATTTACCTAAGACGATGGCCAATGTCTTCGTTGCTTTCCTTTCTCTCTTGGCTGAAGCTTTTTCACGACGTTTGGCACTAGTTTTATGTTTCCTTCCAAGATTGAAACGTGATCGTTTCTTTACTGGTTGTTGTTGCTGTTGTTTACCTTTCAACCCATTTTCAGCTGGTGTTCGACTTGATTCACTTATACTAATCAGTTTATTTAATTTATCGTTGTTTTCAACATTATTTAATTTTTCATCATTAGTCTTTAACTCTTGACTTTCACCATAACCTCCTGAAGATGAGGACGATGTAACCATAGCACCAAAACCGACCCCATCTTCGGCAGTTGATTTGTTTTTCGGCGAGTTTGGACGACTTGAAGCACTCTCGGCTGTTGGATTGTAAACACAAAAGGGTGTCTCTTCAAAAGCTGAAGCTCCATAACCGGAATCATTGCCATATTGTCGTATTCCTATTGTATCAATGTCTTCAGATAGCTTTCTAATTTCCGATGAAGGCAAACAACCGTGATGGCACGATGAAAGATTACCTTTATCTCGATTATTAATGTTGTTTTTATTTTCATCATTTTTTGTTCCACAGCAGTCCCGATTAACTGTCTGCTTATTGGCTATTATGTGACACTCCAGGGGATCATTGGTACCTCCAGAGCATCCAGTCGCATCTATTTCCCGGTCATCTTCATCGTCATCTTCGACTGACCCACTTCCATTATTTGTGTACCCTTCACTCTCTATTATTTTTGGCAAAATGGATTTTTGGCCCAATCCTGAATTACCTTGTACTTTATTGGTATTTTTACCTGAACCTCCCTGGGTCCCGGTTCCATCTTGATGTTGACTGGTATGAGAAGAAACATTAGAAGAATTGGAATTTCGTTTTCTTCCAAGAAATCCTGTTCTCTCTTTAAGCTTTGCTGTTTCACTTTTATTTTCAATAACCAAAACTGTATGAGATGAATCAGTTGAACTAGTGGGCTTATTCTTTGAACCTATCGACATTTTGGCTCGATCATGGATTGCCTTGAAAATCTTGTAATACAAGAAAACCATGAGAACACAGGGAATATAAAAAGATCCTAATGAAGATAAAAAGATGAAATCTGAATTGTAAAATATACAAAGCTCTGGTCGCCGTTCGGCAGATGTATTGAGGCCAAAAACAATCGGTGAACCAATTGCTGCGGAAACAATCCAAACGATGGCGATGGTTAAAGAGACTCGCGTTTTACTTTTATGTTTGGCATACCTAATTGGCCTGGTTACAGCGATAAACCTGCAAGAGAAAAATGAAAAACAAAAGTTGGAGTTAGAGCTTCAAATTGTGATCATCTCGATAAGGTACACATGCAATTTAAACTAACAAAGCAGTCTACTAGCACATTGGGTAATCATTAAATTAACTGATTCATTCTTTCAGATCTTTTTTATTGTTCTCAGATTCTGGCCTTATTCTTTCAGTTGTTAAACTAACGTCATTTTATTACTCTTATTTACATTGTTACCAATCCGATTATCAAACTTTCGGCAGGTTGGATGGTGATAATGATGATGATAATTAAAAGATCAACCACGAATGAAAGGCTCGAAAGAAGTAAAGTAGATGACAGAAAAGCTGTGAAAAAATGAAAAGCTAATACAAGCCAACATTAAGAAGCTCAAGAAGATGGTACAGATGGAGAGAAAAGATAAAGATTAAGAGGATGAAAAGAAAGGTAAAGATTTAAGGTTTATGTGGAGATGAAAACCTTTTTTTTCTTCATTTTATTCGGATTGAATTGATTGTTCGTTAATAGAATTATTCAATAGGATTGATTAAAAGGCAAAGGTTTATTGAGCATCAAAAAGAAAGATGTCAAGATATTGGTTAGAATCTCAATGATGATAAAGAAACGTCGGTCATTTTTTTCAATTCTTGGACAAAAAAGGATATCGATACTGAGGAAACACCAAGGAAAAGATGAAAAGATCCCAATACCTGCAAATGACGATAGACTGTCTCAATTTTTCATGATTCGAGTTGTTTTGTTCACACAAAGATTTGTTTTGAATTTTCAATTTTGTTTCAATTTGGTTTTACAATTGAAGGATCGATTAATATTGAAAGTGAATCAAGTGATTAACCTGATTTTCCTGGTAAACAACAAGATGAATAAAAAAAACTTCACTGATAGTTGACATTTCTGAAGAGGATTCATTCGATCTCAAAGGCTAAAGAAAGCAAGATAATGTAATAATAAAGTTATGAAGCGGATCCAAGACGAAAGGTTCAAGATGATGATGAAAAGATTGTGAAAGATGAACCCAAATATACAAGAGGAAATCATGTTTTAAATCTGTTTGATACTCCAAGATTTGGTTCGCTTCTTTTTTATCAAAGTTTCAAAATGAAATAACCAATCTTCCAAAACCTTAAAGATTCATTATTGGAGCAAGAATAAGAAGAAAAAGGAAAAGCTGAAGAAAAAAATTCTACTTTCATCATCATTCACATTTTCACCATCCACCACTGTTATCATCATCAAGTATTTACTCAATCAAAATCAAGTTCATCATCTTTTTTATTACATGATATACTCTAACAAGGAGTAACTAGTTAATTTTGATGATTTAAACAGTACCAAGGGAACCGGAAACCCAATTGACATTCTTTCAACTTGATCATCAACAACAACATTAAATCCAATTTAGTGGATCCAGAAAGAGCGTAAAAACTGTTTCCAATTATATTAACATTCCATCTCAATATCATCATCTTGGATTAGCTTGATACACCATATTGCATTGTTAGCTGTTAATGGTTCAACAAATTATCAGGCCAAAGGAAAAAAAAAGATTCAAAAGTTTCATCCAATATTGACTTAACTTTTCCTTTGAGCTGAATAACTTGAAATCCCAGGAAAAAAAGGAAAAAAAGCTCGGCAAATCTTCAACAATGAAAATGAACTCCTGTTATTTAATCATAATACAACACAATTCACTCATAGTTTACATAATTAATGAATTGTCTTTGGTTACATATATTTAATTAATGAGCAACGTTTATCAATGATGAGCCAACAATAAGGTAATACAATTGGATAATAACTAAACTATTAAATGACTATAAATTACCGTCAGGTATGATGTTCATTCAACGTGAATAGGTAAAGATTTTACCAATTAGCTTCATATTTCTTTCTACTGGTAAAACAATTTATCTGACAACTTATTTAACAATTTGCTCTACAATTTATTTTACAGTTTCAATTGTCAACCATTAAACGAACGATTGTCTTGGTGGTTAATTAGAAAAGCAACTTTTAACTTGGAACCCAAAGTAATGAAAATTGAGTCGACTAAAAGTGATCAACAAGATGATTATGGAGTAAAGTAGGGACAATTAAGGAGCTCGTCAATTGGACAGCAAAGTTAATTACTATGCTAATTGAATTTGCTAAATGAACAAAGTTAAATTAAAGTTAAAGCATTAACCAAAGCTTGAGTAAGTTTCATGGAGCAGATAATAATGAATGTACACTTTGTTAAAGGATGAACACTAGGATGAACAAATTAAACTCTCAGAGGAACCATAACACAATTAGAATAAGATTTTTGTATTGAAGGGAAATACAAGGAAAGAGAAAGAGTAACATTCAAAAGACAATTGACAATTAAATAAATTTATATTGCTAGTTAGAGGACAATTTGTTTGACTAATCATAAGATTAATTACATTTTGATTTGACATTATTGCAGGTTGTTTCTTGGATATTGGTTAAAGGGAAAGGCCTCGATCTGGAAATTGACTGGTTCACTCGCAATCACTGTAGACTGTAAATCAATGGGTAAACCCTTGAAGTGGTTCAACATTTCCAGATTTTCCCATTTACTCAACGATACAATTGTGAAAATTGTAAACTCGAAAAATTCAACATTAATTGAGAGACTTACCTATCAATACTGATGGCAACCAGGTTAAGTATTGAAGCAGTACTGGCTGTAACATCAACGGCAATATAAAGATCACAAAGTGTTTCACTCAATTCCCAATCAACATTTATCTGTGTGAAAAGAAAGCACATAAAGGTAAAAATTAAAAGCCATTTGGAACAAAAGGAAAGTTGAAAATGTATAACAAAGCCAAGGTATTATTTATCGACAATGTCAAAGGAATGGTTCACCGTAAAGACTGGAATAAGTACAGAAGCAAGCAAGAAAAGGAAAAAGCAACTCTTTTCATTGATCAAAATTTTGGAAGGAAAACAACAGAAAAGGAAAACAGAAAGGTTTACAAAAAAAAGGAAAAAATTTGATGACAAAACCATTTTTATGTATGATTTTGATGATTTATGATGAATGGATGAGTAAACAAAAGTAAACCTGTGATTAATATGAGTGAATCAAGGAAAATGAAAAACTGTGAATGAACTTGAAAGTTTCCATTTGAAAATACTCGACACATGAGAAGTGCTAAAATCGATTCCAAACTCCAAGCTCCAAATTCATTCTCACCAGCTATTCGCAGATTCTAATGGCAAAGGATAAAGACGATAGCTTAGATGACTTATTCAACGACACCATTCTTATCACTCCAGCACCTTTCAACGTTCAACTCAACATCATTTCATTTTTAAACCAAACAAATCATTTTTAATTTTGTCAAAAAATAGAGTTTCAATATTTTATCCGAAAAGCTCTACAAAATATCAAATTCAATGTAGAATTGCAATTTTCCGAATGAATTGTTTTGGTTGTAACACAATTTTGACATTCTTGAGAGAAAATTTCAAACATTTAGCTTTTAATTGAATTTAAGAGGCTGATTAATTTCATTATGAATTTTTCAATTGTAAAAAGTGTAAAAAAAACTCGAGTTTTACCTTTTTCCTCTCTTTTCAACATTCAACATGTGAACACTGAGAATCTGTAAATTAATTTCTCAAGCAAATTGTTCAACTTGAGATGATAAATTGTTTTAATTTTTTCCTCACTTCAATTCACTTTCATTGATTCTCTGTTTAATTACTTAATTAAAAAATTGTCTTTACCAATTTAAATTCATCACATTTCACTCCATTTTTTACTCTCACTTTAAGCTAAAGTAAGGTCAAGTAAAACATGTTCAGTTATTAACTTTTTTTCACACTCTATACGAAGTTATCAGGAAAAGCAGCAAAAAAAGTATCACCAAACAATGAAGACAATTGAATCTGATGAAATTCAAATTTATTCAACCTTGAATTTTTATTCATTCAGATAAGTTCATTATTAAACTTTTTTCCGATTCCCTTTCACTTCAATTTGCAATCATTTAATTGAGTAAAGGTGAATGAAAACAAGATTCAGGAAAAAAAACAGTTAGTCTTTTGTGTGAGTTTCATGATTATTAATCAGTGATGAAAGGTAAGTCAGAGAGTAAAAGATTACTTTTTTAATTGGAAGAAGAAAAAAGTTAATGAAAATTGTTCATTTGAACGATAAAATTGCTCTCATATTTAAATACAATTAGTTGCTGGTTTGATTGTCATTTTCATATTCAATTATCAATTGTTGTTCAAACTGATAATTGAAATATCAACTTTCTTTTGTACAACTTTGCAAGAAACTTTCTTTTCATTTTCTTCTTTTCATCTCTTCTCCTGATTACTGAATTTTGGCTATTCTGATGATGACAATTTTACGTCTTTCAATTGCAACAACAATTGATGATCAATGTTGAAGGTGATTTGATGAAAAATTTGCTTCTCTTCAAAACTCAATTTTGGATTCAACATTGACTTTAGTTTTTGGTTTTACTTTGCTTATTCACTGAAGACGGTATTATTAGTTAATTGAGCAATTAGCCCGATGCTTGAAATTCAGAGTTAATTAAACAATAATGAATAGTCGACTGTTTAGACAAAATATCAAATGAGAAAAGTTTACCAATTAACTTTGGCTTTGATATAATGCATGGGGAAAGTGAATGTGTGTGTCTGTTGAAAAGAGATAGAAATGGATGGAATGAGGAAAATGAAGAAAATTGGAAAAGCCAAATCGAGGTTTGTTCATTTTCTAATGATGATAACAAGATGATAATAATTAGATTGGTGAAGCTGTTTAGCGTCAAATTGAAATCAATTAACAGAACATTAATTAGTTAAAAGCAATGTGAACATTATATCACAGTTGTAGCGAACAGAAAAGGTTATTCAATGTGAAAAATTGAACAATTTTAACAAGTTAATCAAATAAACTGATGTACAGTTGCATGGAATACATGGAATAATTGAAATTTGCTTCATATTTTATTCTGTTTATTCAGTAATTAAATTCAACAAATCTTTTTGATAAAGATTCACCTGTCAAGGGACGAGATGGAAGACTAGTTTTTGAGCATTTCCATTGAATCAGGGTGAATGGAAAACTTGAATCTGCCAAATCAACAGAGAAAATTATTCAATGGAATCTCTAATTTTACAATAAAAGAAAAACCGTTTTTCGAAAGAATGAAAATATTGAAATGTAGAACTTGAAATGTCTGAATGTTAATCACAGAGAAGATTATCTGAATAAGTTTACTCGATCGGAATACAACTTCATTCAGTTCAGTTTATTGAACCAATTTTGGATGATTGACTAGTTTAAACCAACTGTTGATTAAATTTGAATGCAAACTTTTTTCAAGATCAAAAGCCACTCAAAGTATTCAACAAAATGTGACTCTTAGTGCAAAGGAATATTTAAATCTTGAACATTTCACTTCATCTAGAGATATTGAGAAATGATTATTTGTAAAGAGGATGAAAATCAGCAGGATAGGCTAAACTGCCTAACGAGAAATTGTTTCATTATAAACATACCAGAGGTGTAAGCACGCTTGGGATAGATTTTTCAAAATACAAACAGTCATGAATCATTATTTGTTTTATTCAATAACTAATAGCTATTTTCAATAGGAAAGTCTGGCTGGTATTCAAGAGCTATGGCCAATTGACTCGACTCGACTGATAAAGCCTTATTACTCCAATCGATCGACCCTTTAACTTAACATTTTCACTCCCAGTCTCAAAGCTCCCAGAAACTTATGAATAAAAAAGCAACAAATAAATGTTCCAGTTTACACATTTTGTATCATTTTTTGTTCAATTATGCATGAGTCAGGGTAAACCAAACTGTCACAACTGTTGATCAAACCTTTAATCCTTTCATATTTTTGGGGAAAAAATGCAAAAATGGAAACTTTCCAGACGCACAGCTATTCATTTCACCAGAATTTATGAGTTTTTATTTCTGTGTTTTCATTGGAAAACTTTTTTCTCTCTTGATTCTCAAAGTTTTTTGCCCTTTCCATCAGTTCCATTAGGTATTGTTTTGTTGTTGATGTTGCGGGCTTGAAGGAAAAAAAGAAGCAAAAAGTAACCACAAATAATTCATCTCTTCTTTCATTTTCTAGCAACTTATTTTTTCTCTTTGCTTCTCTAAAACTGAGATTATTTTAGCTGATTCAAGGAATGAAACTGATCTGATAAAGCAAACCCAAAAGTATAAGTCTCTTATTTGATCGATGATCAAGTATTTACTTCTAACCAAACAATTGTTATTCCATTTTCAGTCTAAATCAATTTTTTTATTACCTTTCTCTTTGCCCAATTTGCCATTACATGATGAACCCACCAAGTGCAAAAACTATTACAACCATTATTATTAGATTTTTCATCCTAATATGAGTTATCTTTTTTTCACTTATTTGGCTCATGATAATCTACTTTTATTTGGATTAATTTTGTTTCACTTTCATTACAACTCCATCATTTACCTTGACCAGTTCAATTTTCACCAATCTTCACCCTTTCTCTTCACTTACAGTTGACCCTGCAAATGGTGAAAATTTGAAGCAAAAAACAAGAAAAGAGAAAACAAAAGAAAATGTTTTTTTCCCAAAAAAAGGCTTTTCCAATGGCTTGTTATAAAGTCTCATATAAATTGATCTCATCGTTAGAAGAAGAAAACATTTCAAATTTTCTCTATTTTTGTCCATCAATACATTTTACTGTTTGGATAATAAGCTGGACATGGTGAATCAGTTTGCAATCGTTCATTTCCTGGAGGAAAATTTTTCCTTGAATAACTTTCTTGGCCAGACAAGAAACAAAAAATGTCTCAAAAAGAGGAAAAAAAAGAAGAAGAAGAAGCAAGAAAAACATTGACAAAAAGAAGTAAAATCAAGAGATTCACCCTGAAGGAGGACTAAATCTGTATAGCATGGAATCAGTGATGAAAGATGATCATCAAAATGGTCAATAAGATGGACAAAGAGTGTAAGTTGATTAAGAAGACTAAAGAATAGAGAAACTGTGAAATGTTGATTTTGTCCAAGTGTTTGAGCAACAATTTAAACTGGAAACAACACAGAGAATGGCCATTTATAATTAACTTTAACTATTGAAAAATGAATAAATAAATAAATGCATCTCTTAATGTGAACAACATTCAATAGTATTGAATCACTTCAAGTCTCGAGAGATTCTCATGCCAGCCAACAAGCTTTTCTCGGTGCAAAAACTCAACCATTTTCATTGCTTCCTTTTCAATGGCCATCATCATGATGAAGATGAGAATACATTATGGCAAAAAGAAAATTTAATTTGGAGAAAGTTTTGATTACATTATTGTGTACATTTATTAAGTTCCTATGTGCTCATGTAAACATTGGCCAATCATGAGCTTTGTTTGGTCCAAAGTTGTGCGCAAAGTGATGTGAGAAATGAATTCAGAGTATTTTTAGGAACAACAACAACTTCTTCTTCTCTCATTTCAACAATCAAATGTGAACAAGTTTTCTGGTTCATTGGTAAATACTCATTCAACTTTTATTTAGTTTTTCCACTTTTACTTTCAACAATTTACGCTTTTCCAGTTTAAGATGTTCAAGATGATGATGATAAGAAGCGTATAATAGTTGAAACATTGGATGATATTAAGAAGGATAATAATGTAATAAGTGAGGAAAGAAGGAAAAGCGAAAAAAGAGGAAAGAAGAAAAAAAACTTTTCTTGTTTCTCTTCTCTCGTCAGATTAT